TAAGGAGGGGAACTAGAATAAGTAGTCTCAGGTGGAGTACAGACTCGCTGTGCAGAACGGACTGTTTCAGTGCTACAGATCCAGTGTAATTCAATATAAATTGCTCTGCCACTACCGTCACCTCTCCGAATAATACTTGCTTGGTATTTACCATTCAAAATGCTGCACTTTCTCCAGGCAAAACAAGTTTGGAAGGACAAAGTCCATAACCGTAATTACCTGCAATGGCCACTATTATTAACTTACTGAAATCCTAGGGAAAACATTGATAAACTCAGCAGAAAATCACTGGAACTGATATCGGCACTATGTACAACTATGCTGCCATCGTAAAGAACCTAAAAGATGGAACAGCCCTAAAGGTGCACTAACATGCTGAAGGTGTAAGAAGCCTTAGTTGCATACAACCTAAGAAATCAAGTGAGTCCCTATAAGCAGCATTCAGGAAGCAATCCCATAATTGAAGGTATGGAACCAGTTTAAAACACAGACTGCACACAGCTCACATTGGACTATTTTGCACAGCAGCTGTGCAAAAACAATGTCAACAACACACAACTAAGATGAAATGACATGCAGCATGGAGAAGGTAATTAATAAATTAAGACCATGGCTCGGTCCCAAAGGATCGCCAGAGGGAATCCCAGAAGGTTAACCAAAATGTTTGTAACCTGAAACTGTCGTGTTGAGCTTACATCCCTGCCATGCACTTCTTTGTTAAAAAAAACCCAAGTTACACAGTCTCCATTAGAAATGTGAATACATTTTTGCTAATGCTTGTTAGCACACAATTAAACAGGAAAAAATATAGATGGGAGGAAAAACAGAACAGTGATAAATTTTTATATCTCCCAATACAGCAAAAAATAAACCCAAGATTCATATCAGTACTCTACATAGAGTATTCTGTGTACACAGCACTAATAAGTCTTCAGAACAAATGTACAGTTTCAATGTGCTTGAGATGGTTTGCAATGACAAGACACTAAAATGTTTAGTCTCCTAATTTTGCACCCTGACGTCCTCATGCTGGAGCATAGTCCCAAAACAGGCAGTCAGCCAGGACCTTTCTCAAGTAGACATTCTTCACATGCAACTCTAAGACAGTGATGTCAAACTTCAGCATTGAATGTCTTGTGCCAAGTTGAGAAATCTAGATTTTCATGCAACAAAAAATAATTCGTCCACTCCAAGCAACAGCAGATTTCAGACACCAAACACCACTATGTATACAGCCACCTGAACAATGATGTGCTTGTTGTTGACTATCTGACTACAAGTACATTTTATTCTACATTTAGACACATAGCTCTCATGCTAACCCTTTAACCAGTAGCTACAATTTCCCACCAACTCGGTGATGTATTTGGAGAATAATGTATTCAATTTCATATCTCTAAGCTACCTATAATGCTAGACTTTCTGATGTAACAATTGGGTCAAAATTAAGAAATCAATGTTTGTGGAACCTACAAGTACAAACCCTGCAGCCCCACAAGTCTAATATTTAACTTCACGTCACACTGCAAACTTCATGTTAGCGAAAAACAGAGACTGCCGCACAACCACAACTCAAGAAACCAGCAAACTTTTAGGCTACTCTGATTTTTCTCTGTGTGCCACCTCCTTGCATAAAGTAAAGTCTCCTTCTGTTGTGACATCAGTGGAATTATATGGCTTACAGTTTCAGTTATTGGAATATACTATGCCCAATTTTCCTCACCGACTATGGGGAGGAATTAGGTTAGAAATATGTTGGTCTAGTAGCAGCTACTTCTGCCACAGTTAATCACTTCTACTATTTTCACAAACTATTTTAAATCTAATTGGATCTAACGGGTGAAAGCAATGCAAAAATAACACTGGACTCACTATGTTAAAAAATGCAATAAAAGTATCCATATGAAAATGTTTCACTGTGACTAGTGTTTATGTGAGCCTGGTTCAATTGATAGCACTCTGCTTTGAGTCAGAAGGTCGTGGGACTTTTGCCTACAAATAATCAGTCACTGTTTACACTTTTAGAGTAAATCCTATGAAGTGCTTTGAGATGACCAAAGGATAATTATCATTTGAGTTTATAGTCTAGACTGACATTCTAACACAGTCCTGTGGTGCGTTGCAATATTAAAGGTGCCATCCTATGGATGAGACATAAAAAACAAGGTTTTGTCTGTCTGTTCTGGTGGACATTTAACATCCCATGGCACTATTCCCCCCCCAAATCTCCTGGTATCCTGGTCAATAATCCTCCAGTTAAATAAATTATTCATTTCATGACTGTTTGTGGGGCATTTGTATATGTAAATTAGCTGCAACATTCACCTACAATTCACAGAAGCCTCCTGTGGTGAAGTGCTTTGAAACATTGCGGTGATAAGTTGCTATATCAAATACAAGGCTTTCAACAAACATCCGGGCAGTGTGAACTTTTCTTACAAGTTTAGAAGCGTTGGAGTAGTGGAGGCTCATGTGAAGTGTAAACAGCAGCCAAGAATAGTTGGGTCAAATAGCCCATTTCCATGCTGTAAGATTCTATGTAATTCTGTGCAAGTGGTATAACTTCCTGGTGAAGGAGCCAAAGAGTATTTTGCCTGGTAACATGCTGAAGGTATCACAGCTAATTTACACTGCTGCACCTTAGCCATTTCCCAACCACCTGGGGACTCATATAAGTAAATCTTTGAAGGTGGCAGGACAGATAGATAAAGCTGTTAAAAAAGCATACGGGTTACTAGGCTTTATAAATAGGGGCATAGAATACAAAAGTCAGAAAGTTATGATGAACCTTTATAGAACACTGGTTAGGTCTCAGCTAGAGTACTGTGTTCAGTTCTGGGCCCCACACTTTAGGAAGGATGTCAAGGCATTGGGGAGGGTGCAAAGGAGATTTATCAGGATGGTACCAGGAATGAGGACTTCAGTTATCAGGGGAGAGTAGAGAAGCTAGGATTATTCTCCTTGGAGCAGAGAAGATTAAGAAGAGACTTAATAGAAGTTTTCAAAATTATGAAGGGATTCAATATGATGAACAAGGAGAAACTATTTCCACTGGTGGGTGGGTCGGTAACCCAAGGACACAACAACAACAAAATTACATTTATAGAGCGCCTTTCATGTCGGAAGGACGTCCCAAGGCGCTGGACAGTCAGGAGTCAGGATCCGAGAATGGGGGAGGGGTGCGGTAGGGGTGAGGGAAGGCAGAGAGGTGGGAGGGCGACCGAAGGCATGATCGAAGAGGAGGGTCTTGAGACCGATTTAAAATAGTTGTTAAAAGAAACAGAGGGGAGGTGAGGAAAAAATTTTCACACAGCGAGTTGTTCTGATCTGGAATGCATTCCCCAAAAGGGTGGTGGAAGCCGATTCGATAACAGCTTTTAAGAGACTGAATTGGACAGCTCTTTTCAAAGACCTGGCACAGACACGATGGGCCGAATGGCCTCCTTCTGTGCTTATAATTCTATGATTCTAAGTTACACGGTTCACTGTTTTGCCACAACAATGTAAGCAGTGGCTGTGCAATACAAGAGCTGAACAACCGAATGAACCCAATTGCTTCCTCACACCGTGACAAGTCAGACGGTCTCACTAATATTGCATTACGTTTTCCTGTCAATTATTCTGCACAACTGTAGAATAAATCAACAATGAAATAAAGAAATAAAATGCAGCCATCATGTGAATAAAATGCACCAAAAGTAAAAATGGTGCTATATTTAGCACTTAATATTTATCTCTAAATAAGTAAACAATCTATATAGCTGTCATTGCATCACATACAGGATTTATTTGAATGTACTTAGAAATATTTTGCACCTATTCATTTAGAAATTGTATAAAAACAAATATAATTTTAGAGATATTTAATCAACGAACCATGTATAAAAGAGCATTCTGTACAATTCTCAGAGGGGTTGCTTTCTCTGAATACCTATGCAGAAATTTCTGCCTATACTACTTACCTATGTTTAACTACAGTATAAGCAAAAATCCTCACTCTCTCAATATATAAGACAGATCTGAATGCAAGTAGTGTATAAGGAAGAGTTTGCTTATGATATAGTACTTGCATTTGATATAGCCCCTTATCACATCTTTGAGACATGTCAAAGCGCTTCACAGAATATACTGTAAAGTGAATTGACTGTACACCATATAAAACTATGGTGTGTAGATATAACTATAAACACAAATCCTGCACAACTGAAAGTAAAATCTCTCGCTTATTATAAACCTATTGTAACTATAAGGAGATATTACTATTCATGTGCTTTAAGATGCTCAAGATATCTTCAGGTGAACACTCTTTTATATAACTTGCATTTATGTAGTGCCCTCCACTAAGATATCTGAAAAACTAGGATTTATTTCTAGCAACGCAAGTACAACAATCTTTGCATTTATATGGAGACTTTTCACATCAATATCTCAAAGCACTTCACAAGGTTATATACAGTCAAATATACAGTCAATTCACTTTACAGTGTGTGCTGTGAAGCGCTTTGGGACGTCCTCCCGACGTGAAAAGCGCTATATCAAATGCAAGGATTATTATTATTATTATTATTATAAGGTTAACTGTTAAGTATAGTGACTTTATTTTGTTGGTAAACGCAGAAGCCAATTTGCACATATCAATGCCCCACATACAGCAATAAAGTGAAACACCAATTTTATTCAGGGGATTGTCGGCCAGGACCCTGGAATAACCTCCTGTGTTGGATAGCGCCATGGAATGTTTACCGCCCCCCAAAGTGCCTTCGACAATGCCGCACTCCCCCAGAATTGCACGGGAGCATCATCTTAGACCGTGAACTCAAAGTCTTGACCGACACAGGGCTTGAACCCACATCTGTCTGAATTTGAGTGCCATAAACTGAGCCAGACCGACACCACCAGAGAGAACAAGAGTATCCCTCTCTAACTACAGCATAAGGAAGCTCACCCTCTTCCAACTGTGACAGCTATCTTGGTACACAACTGTAAGGAAAAATCTCTACCTATAGAGGCATCTTCCAGTCTCTGTTTAACCTGTCTATGAGGCTCTTCGAGCCAACCTTGCACGAAGCAGACATCTGCAGCGGAGATCGGCCTCTGCCACTCTCTGACCCAATGCATTAACCCAACCCCCGGGTCTCGGTGCGGCCTGGAACAAAGAGTGACCGGTTGACAGCAGAGCGACCGGTCCCGGAGGCGAGTGAGCGGAGAGGGGTCGCGGGAGCCCTGGGCGTGGATTCTTCCCCCTCCTCCCCACCTCCTCCAGGTCCCTCGCCTTCCCCTTCTCTCCTCTGCTTCCCCCCCCCACACCCCCACCCACCACTCCCAGAAGCTGGGCCCGGGCCCAGGCCCAGCGGAGTGAGGGAGGGAGGGAGGGAGGGAGTGAGGGAAGGAGACCCGCGGCCTCTCCCTCCCCAGGGGTCAGGGTAAAACCGTGAAGCGGCCGCTCGCACACAAAGGCGGGCCAGGACAGGAGCGGCCGCCCGGCCCCGCGGCTCCGGAGGCAGAGGCCGCCCCTTTCCTCCTCTTACCCGCCAGTTACCGAAAACAAAAAACCTCCCCGAATAATAATTAGAAAAACCTCCTCGGAGAGAGAGACAGAGAGAGAGAGAGAGGAAAAAAATAATCCCGCGAGGCCTAACCGCGCCCCGGCCCGGGCTCACAAAAACCCACCGCGGGAGTGGGGAGGGGGGTGGGGGAGGAAGAGAGCATTTTTCAAAGCCCACGTCTCGATCCCCGGTCTAAATTTGCAGAGCACTGCCCGCCTCGGGGCGTCCTGCGCCGGCCGCGCTCTCCAAAGCGAGGCCGAGGCGGCGGCGAGGCCTTGCGCCGTTCAAGGCGCTTGCGTTCGCTTACCGTTGGCTCCTGGGCTGGCTCGCTGTGCCTGGGCTGGGCTTGGGCTGGGCTCCGGGCTGCTGGGGGAGGAGGAGGAGGAGGGGGGGAGGGGGGCGGTGGGGGTGGGGGGGGGGGAAGGGAAGCCAGAGAGCGTGCGAGGCGCCGTGCGCACGCGCCGGGGGGCAGTGTCGCCAGGTTGGGCGGGTTTCACGCCCAACGGGGCGCGTTTGTTGTCGCGCGCCGCCGCGCGTGAAACGAACGGACGGCCGTTGGGTTTGGTGCCTAATTTATATTTTTTTTAAAAAAAGAACTCAATATCAACCTGCAAAACGATTTTTTTTTTCTATCTCTCTCTCTCTCTCTCTCTCGGCTCCCTTTGAAGACCTTTTTTCTTACACCGTTTGAAAAGCGGCCGCTTCTTGTGCTGCCCCAATAGGCGGGCAATGCGTATTTTTGGGCTATTTTTGCGGGGCGGGGTGGGGGGGGAGGCTCGCGTTGGGCGGACCTTGGGCTACAAACGGCTATTAATGTCTGGCCGCGAGTGCGCAGGCGGGTTAGCGCGAGCCTGTGCCGCGAGCGGCGGTTGTGGTCGGTCGGTCGGTCAGGGTGTCCGTTGGCTTTTTTTTTCCCCCTCTCTTTTTCCTCCCCCTCCAAACCACAACAAGGAGGTGAACGAAATAAAGAGAGAGAGAGATGAGCCACTCAACTCCCCCCCCCCCTCCTCCACTGCTTCCACCCCCTCCCGAGGTCAGTGGCCGCCTGTGGGGTCTGGTAAGTGGGTGCGAGGAGAAGTTGCCGGGAGGGTCGTGTAAAGGCTGTCGCGCCCCCCCCCCTCCACGAAGCGGCTAAGGTTTCTCATCCCCTCCCCCCTCCCGACCCGGGTGAGGGAGGTGGTGAGTGTCTGGTTTCGCTTGTGTGTCCCGAGAAGCGGAGGGAGGGAGAGAGAGGAGAGGAGCCCCGGCCTGTGAGGGAGGGAGGGAGGGAGGGAGGGAGAGAGAGGAGAGGAGCCCCGGCCTGTGAGGGAGGGAGGGAGGGAGAGGATCCCCGGCCTGTGAGGGAGGGAGAGAGAGGAGAGGATCCCCGGCCTGTGAGGGAGGGAGGGAGGGAAGAGGAGCCCCGGCCTGTGAGGGAGGGAGGGAGAGAGAGGAGAGGAGCCCCGGCCTGTGAGGGAGGGAGGGAGGGAAGAGGAGCCCCGGCCTGTGAGGGAGGGAGGGAGGGAGAGGAGAGGAGCCCCGGCCTGTGAGGGAGGGAGGGAGGGAGAGGAGAGGAGCCCCGGCCTGTGAGGGAGGGAGGGAGGGAGAGGAGAGGAGCCCCGGCCTGTGAGGGAGGGAGGGAGGGAGAGAGAGGAGAGGATCCCCGGCCTGTGAGGGAGGGAGAGGAGAGGAGCCCCGGCCTGTGAGGGAGGGAGGGAGAGAGAGGAGAGGAGCCCCGGCCTGTGAGGGAGGGAGGGAGGGAGAGGAGCCCCGGCCTGTGAGGGAGGGAGAGAGGAGAGGAGCCCCGGCCTGTGAGGGAGGGAGAGAGAGGAGGGGAGCCCCGGCGAGGGAGGGAGGGAGAGAGAGGAGAGGAGCCCCGGCCTGTGAGGGAGGGAGGGAGAGGAGAGGAGCCCCGGCCTGGGAGGGAGGAGGGAGAGAGAGGAGAGGAGCCCGGCGAGGGAGGGAGGGAGAGGAGAGGAGCCCCGGCGAGGGAGGGAGGGAGAGGAGAGGAGCCCCGGCCTGTGAGGGAGGGAGGGAGGGAGAGGAGAGGAGCCCCGGCCTGTGAGGGAGGGAGGGAGGGAGGGAGGGAGGGAGGGAGGGAGAGGAGAGGAGCCCCGGCCTGTGAGGGAGGGAGGGAGGGAGGGAGAGGAGAGGAACCCCGGCCTGTGAGGGAGGGAGGGAGGGAGGGAGAGGAGAGGAGCCCCGGCCTGTGAGGGAGGGAGGGAGAGGAGAGGAGCCCCGGCCTGTGAGGGAGGGAGGGAGGGAGGAGAGGAGCCCCGGCCTGTGAGGGAGGGAGAGGAGAGGAGCCCCGGCCTGTGAGGGAGGGAGGGAGGGAGGAGAGGAGCCCCGGCCTGTGAGGGAGGGAGGGAGAGGAGAGGAGAGGAGCCCCGGCCTGTGAGGGAGGGAGGAGAGGAGCCCCGGCCTGTGAGGGAGGGGAGGAGAGGAGCCCCGGCTGTGAGGGAGGGAGGGAGGGAGAGGAGCCCCGGCCTGTGAGGGAGGGAGGGGAGAGGAGCCCCGGCCTGTGAGGGAGGGAGGGAGGGAGGGAGGGAGAGGAGCCCCGGCCTGTGAGGAGGCGATGGCGGCTGCAGGCGGTGGCTGCACAACCCTCAAAACAGCGGCAGCTCAGCGGTAAAGGACAGACGGGAGAGACAGACACCCGTTATTGGATTCACTTTTCATCTCCGCCACCGGGAGCTTTTGCCTCAATTGCGTACGCTTTTATTTCCCCCCCGAATAACAATAACCATAATAATAATAATCCTTGCATTTGATACGGTGCTACATTGGCTGCCGCATTTGCCCGCAAAAAAAAATATTGGCACCACTTTGCGCTTGTAACTCCTGTGAGGAGCTTTGAGAGACGTCTCTCCCTGACGCGATACACCGCTATCATCATCATCATCAATAATAATAATAATAATCCTCGCATTTGATACAGCGCTTTTCACGTCGGGAGGACGTCCCAAAGCACTTCACAGAACACACTGTCGAGTGAATTGACTGTATATTTGTGGGCGAACGCGGCAGCCAATTGCGCACAGCAATGTCCCACAAACAGTCGTAGATTGAAAATGACCAATTTATTATTGTTTTTGGTTTTGGAGGGATCATTATTAGGCTCTATGTGGAGTAAGGAAACTTGCCCAAGGTTTCGCCCTCTGCCGGGAATTGAACTCGGGTCTCTCGCTTGCAAAGCGAGTCCTCAACTCCTCCTGTACAGGACTCCTCAAGGGTTGCGCCGCCTGAAACTGGAGGGAGACGGATCAAACTCGGCATGTTGTGCACAGGAGAACTGTTCTTCCTCCATGTAAAGTTCACAGGAGTCGAGGCGTTTGTAAGAAAAAGAATTGCTGCACTACATGCAGTAGACTTTCAGATTTCATGTAATGATAACCGACTAAATTTGGGGATGTGCTTATTTATTATTATGCATCCCAACAGGTTTTTACTGAACTCTAAAATTATTTTTTTTTGCAGTCGTGACTCTAGTTCTTTTTTTAAAAAAAAGTTTATCTTACCCTTATTGAAGATTTCTCGGTTTGTTCTCAGATTCTGTTTATCAAAGGAGGTTAAGCTTGTGGCCTGTGCTGATGGTGTTTATGTTGTTGCATGTTGTGAAAACAATTGTCCTCCAAGTCAGTGCAAGTCTGACTCACATCAGCGAAAACATGTGCTCTTAGATATTATTCTAATGTTGGTGCAAGGTTCGGTTGTACTAATATTTACACAGATTTCTGTTATTTTAATGATAAGCATGATTAATAAAATCCTTGCATTTGATATAGTGTCTATGACATTGAAACTGTCTTAAAGTGCTCAAAATACAGCAGCAGATTTACACACAATAATTGTCCCTTCTCCTTTCGCCATTGGAACTTCAACATCCACCTGACCAGGCTTTCTGGACCTTTCTATAATATCTTGTCAGAAAGATTGCACTTTTATTTTAATTTTTAAATAATAATATTCCTTGCATTTGACATAGAGCATTATCACATCTTCGAGATGTCTCAAAGCGCTTCACAGAATATACTGTAAAGTGATTTGACTGTATATTTTGTGGGTGAAACGCAGCAGCCATTTGCGCACAGCAGTGTCGCACAAATAGCCATGGATTGAGTGCCCACATTTTAATTTATTTTTGAAGGGATAATTACCCCTGGAAAAGCAATCCGCCAATTGACTACCAACAGGGTTCCTACTTACTGCTAGATAATCAGAGGCAAGTGGAGTAAGGAAACCTGCCCAATGTTTCGCCCTGCCTGGGAATTGAACCCATGTCCTCTCTCTTGTGAGTTGAGTGCTTTAACCACTAAGACACAGGACTCCACATGTATACTGATGATATCATGGGGGAAGAGTTCCTTGGAGTGAGGAGTAGTAAGTGATGGGAGTCAGATGGATTCTTCACGGTACTCTCTGTTTCGATGTTATCAGCTGTTAACTTGGATCCTTTCCTAAGGGAGATGGAAATCCATTGTTTAATGGTACCAAAACTTAATTTATATTTGATTCATTTTTATTTCCTTTTTTTGATACAATAGTTTGATCAGATTATCCTCCCTTTAACATTATGGGTGCTTTCTTTGAAGAGGGAGGCATTTATTTGGTGCTTTGTGTGGGATAAATACTAATCTATTAAATGTTTTCTAATCCAGTACCCTTAAATATGCCATTCTAAATAGTCTTCCGTGCCCTGGTTTGGAGGCTAATTCCACGGATTTTGCTACTATGGAACACATGGGCTTTTTTTCAATCTCCTGAGGGTACAGACTACAACAATAACTTGCATTTATATAATTCATGTAGGATATGTCTGAGTACGTCATACACTTAGAAAGTCCCAAGATCAGTTGTTAGTGTGTGAAATGCTGGAATTGAGTCATTGTTAATGTGTGCAATTTATGTCAAGTAACAAGTTTTCCTATTCTTGCTGTTTCAGTATCACATTTCTGTGGATTCTGGAAGCTGCTGCATAACATTTGACCTAAGTTGCATGATCCAGGACCTGACAAAATGTTGAAAATGTAAGCCAGAACCTGGAGGAATGTTGGATTTGTAATAACAGTATTGTGGTTCCATGTATTACTAGGATGAATTGTAAAATTGGCAACTTGCATGCCTGGCAAGTGGAATTGAGAAATGCTGTCGATTTGTAGAGGACATCAACAAATAATACAAGTGCATTTTGCCCTTACAAAATTACATTTATGAACCTAGATGATATTTCATGACTTTTGCAGTGAGTACAACTTTCTCCAAGATGGAAATTTGTATAGTAATCCTTGCATTTGACTTAGTGCCTTATCATGTTGTCAAGTTGCCTCAAAACGCTTCACAGGGTATACTGTAAAGTAGATTGACTCTATTTTGTGTGTGGAACAAATATCCACCATGCAAGAATTGCACTTCAATCTGCTCATTCTTCCTGTTCATCGGGTGAACCCACTAAAAGCTGCAGCATTGTTGCTGTGGTTTTTAATCTGAGAAAGAAAACATTCAGGTTTAGAAAGTGGTGAATTTAGAGATGCAGAATAATACTCACCAAACACCTTTTCAACAGCAGATCTGTGCAAGAATAAAATCAGTCATGCACTGTTACTGAACACTGAATATTCATCAACATCTGGATTAACTGCACCTTGCTAAGCAAGGGGACAAATAGAGGAAAAGCAACAAAGCTGTTTGTTCCGAACACAGGAAATTGTTCTTCTTCCCATCTAACGTGGATAACCAGCACTCGTAGATCATACATGATACACTGTACTTATAGGGCACCTACTTTCAACTAAGTAACCTTATTGTAACGTAATTATCTAGCAGTTGCATCTAATTAAACCGACTAGTTTGCATTGTATTGATATCCATTGTTGACATTATAGTGTAATATGTGCTCCAAATTCTATTAACTGCCAAAGTTTGAACTAAAGCACTGATACTTTAGAGTTAGCTCATAGTTCTTCATAAAGGCTGGTGCATTTGTAATTAAACTCTAATCTATGTAGTGTGCTACATGGATTTCTGTTGTCATGTATTTTTTGTTCCATCTTTGTACTTCTTGGCTGGCTCACTGGGCAAATGCTCTTTGAGGGATAAAGTAAGCACAATGCACATTCTCACTGATGGTGATCAGGTTTTAAACACAAATAAACAAACAACAATTGGACCAAGTGTTACTCCTTTATGTCTGTAAATGTAACTTACAAGTTGTAAATCTGGTCAATACAGTACAAGTATTTGCTGTTTTAACATGTGATTCCACCTGCATACTATTCATTCCATGTGTGTGTACATATATATGTATGTAGTCTTTAAATGCTGATTAGCATTTTGTAGCTGTGCTACATCAGCAGAAGCAGTTTGTGATCCACAAAGCTAAAGCTGAACTAAATAGCTGGAGCTGGTTTCAGTTCATCTAAAAGGACACGATGACAGATTTTAAGTGTACTGACTAGCCTGCAGCTCCTATTAGATTGAATGGGGCATTATTAGCAGGCTTGTATCACATGTATCCTGACAGGAACCATTCCCATTATATCCTGCATCAAGAGTACAAGGAAAAGTACACTTGTGCCACCCCATGTTTTGGGCTGATTCTATAATGACCTCTGAGCAAGAGCAACTGGCATGAATGGGCCTTGTCCTATGTACTTATGCCTACTAAGAATGAAGGTCAAATTACACTTTGATCTAAATTTATTCATTTTCTTAGCATTTTGGAGCATACAGAATATGGAAAATTCTTAAATATCCTTAATCTTGAAGCCTGTTTTCAGTATATTTTATAAACTACCAGAGAACAGACTTCAAAATCAATTCTGCTTGATAGAAAACATTTTCTGTCTTTCGAAAAACTGGTAAAACCCTTTGTACAATCAAATATACAATATAACTTTGGCTAACTGACAGTTCAGACTAGATTGAGTCCAGAGTTGATTATGGTTGCAATCTTTGCCTGTATCTTTTCACAATGGTTGAAATCACATTGACCAGTTTCTTCATGTATGCAATATTTCAGATCAATTATTTTCAATGGCAGCAAAATGAATAAATTCCTTTAAAAAAAACTCACTTGTAACCCAGTATATATTAATTTAGGGGAAACTGGCAAACATTTGGATGCACAATGCACTGGCTGCTTTAATTCCAAAGAAATTCAATTTAGCTAGATCTCAAATAGTAACTGGACAGATGTTTTCCACAAAAGGGTAGAGAGAATAAAGGAATCTGCTGACATTCTTGACAGAGGGTGGGGTCTGGCTCCAGGTAACCTGCAGTACAATAACTTGCACTTATATGCACCCTCCACCCCACACTTGGAGGTCGCGCTTTCAACCAAACCACTACAACCTGAAATTCTGGAACACTCACTCAAACCCTCCGCATTGCCTCACTCTCCCTTTTTAAGTCCCGCCTGAAAACCTTCCTCTTCAATCGTACTTACAGCCACCTTCCCCCACCCGGCTCAGAGTCAGGCTCCGCCACTGTTGAGTACTCTTGAGATGTGACGCTGTGGAGGGTGCTATAATAAATGCAAGTTATATAGCCCCATTCATACAGGATGCCATCTCAGAATGCATAAAAAGGAATTCAGTTTCAAATGAAGTGGCTTTTTTAACCTTAATTTTCTTAGCTTTTTCTCAAACCTCCACTGGTTAGAGGTTTAATGGGACAAAGTAGAAACATTGGCTGATGAAATTTTGGTAGTGGTATGGGTTTGATCCTATTGTTGCCTAAGCAGAGACCAGCTAATCTGGCACAAAGTATTCCTGTTTGTATTTGTTATGCTATATTTGCCAACTGATTAATCAGACTGGGGAATATTTTTGAAACTAATGCTGAATTATATTTTTTTGTGAGCTTTCAGATCTACTTTGGCGGTTGAGTATGCTTAGAGATTGAGGCAAACTTACAATTGATGCAGGATATTTTATATACACTTGCATGAAGAAGTTATCTCAATGGCCTTCCCTCACTTTGGTAGTACACATTTATATAACATATAGCTGAGAATAAGACAATGAAAGAACTGCTATCAGTGGAAGGTTTTATAAACATTTACACAATCACTATGACCAAAAAGAGTCAGTGTATTCAAATTCACAAGCTTATTACCCAGCCCAAGCATTGTATTAAAACTATTTTATTGCAGTAGTTTATATTACTTTACATTAATAGATGTTAACTTTACAGTGACGTGATGGAACCAGACAGGCACAAAAGAATAATTTCTCCAAAGAGAGCCACACAAAAGTTTGCTATAATGTTTTCAATCCCTGGCCAGGATTACATTCATTGTTCATAGGAGGCCAGCATTGTATGGGTTACACAGAACACAGTTGCAGCTGTGTGGTACAGATAACTTTGTGATTACTTTATTCTGTATTAACAGATGGAAGGCTCTTCAATCGCCTTGGCTCCTTCTGTGACTGCTTTAACACACTTTGCCATTGTCTGGGAAGCTCTGCTGATTGGATCTGCAAGAAGAGATAAGTATTCTGAATTTCATGGCGAGGGTCTTATACAAGCAAGCCAGTAGATTTCTGATGGACTGGCTTCTGTAGATCTGAGAAACCCATTTACTATTGCAAATAATTTGTAAAGCCAGATTCAATCAAATAAACATAAAAAATTGTCTCACAACCGTGAGAAATCGAAATTTACTCATTCAATTACTTCCATGGTCTCAAAAATCTGCTGCCTGACTGTCCTGTACGTGAAACACATAATGCCTTCAAAATATGCACTATACACTGGCAGGAGAGAACTATATATATATCTGCACACACATACATATACACACACACACTCACTCTCCTGCCAGTGTATAGTGTATATATATATAACATATATATATTTATTATATATTATATATAAATATAATATGGCATTATATACTACCTGTCAGGAAAGATAAATGCACGTGACAGCACATTTTGTGAATAACTGGTAAATGGAACTGTTTTTAACCTGATAAATCTGATGGCTTCTTGAGTGAGATTGTCAATTTACTGCCAATTATTGATGATTTTTTGCTGTGGATTTACATATCAAGACCTCTGTTGAGATTTATTCAGACTCATTAATAATCTTTGCAGCTACCTTGAAGAGAAGATTTTCACCCTTTGCTTGTTCATCCAGAAATTAAAAGAGCAGAATGTTAACCTGCTGCACCTTTGAAGAGCTTTGTGGTAATGGTTACAAACCACTCAAAATTTTGTTTGGTTGATTTTAGCCTCTTAAACACTTGACTGATCTAATAACTCCCACGAATGCCCTTCTCCATATCTCTCTCTCTTTCCACATTCACTTCCATTGCAAGAGGGAAGGATAAACGAAGCACATTTACAAACTGCTTCCAAAACCTAAAATTAGCATTTTTTACCTCTTCCCCAAATTAAAACCCCAGAAGATGACAACTTTTACAAAACATCAACATTTACAAATATACTAATACATGTATTTTTTAGTGTCTCAGGGAGACTAGGGAAAATGCTTTCTTCATTTGACTTATACAGGACTCAGCTGCAAACCTTTCGCATCAATATTCTGTTAATGCATACCAGTCATGTAGAAGTCTTTAATTGTAAGCTGAGGTGGAACAAGTGGTTCACTAAGGAGCTGTTGATTCACCAGCTGTTAAAAAAAATGAGCAGAGCCAGTTATGTGTCAGTTGGAGAACTGGAATGCAACTTCAAACAGAAGCAATGCACATGATACACTTGGAAACATCACCAGCTTCAGCATGAAGAATTTCTATATCATTTTAAAAGGACCCATTTCCTTAATTTAGCTCCTTGGCTCTGCAAGTTTTTGCATCAAGTCACTACATTTTTTAAGTTATTGAGATGAGCTTATAACCAACATCTGCCTTCTTCCAACATTAGCTTGTTGAAACAGAATTTTTGTAACCTCCAGTATGAGTCTCACATTTTCAGATTATTTTTTTTAAAATAACATGAAAGTACTTGTTCATTGTCGCAACAGATGTTTGATGGAGCACTTGCCATTTGTCTTATGCATCGACTTTACCCCGGCATTTACATAAGCTATAAATGCAGGTAGTAGATCATACATTAAACATTGTGTGCACTCTCAGAGATAAGGTTACTAGTTTGAAAGGACACTGACCTTTGCAAGTTCATTTGCCTGTTTGAAGAAGTTGGCCTCCTCAATGTTATCGTAGCTGATCAGGTTAGGAGATACTTCTGCCAGCCTTTTACGAACTTCATCCAGGGTATCATATGGGAGTGTAACGCCAGCTACCTGGAGGAACATAGGAAGACAATTGTGATCTTTTCCTAAGTTTAAATAATTTTATGATTTGGCAGTGACTCAAACTTACAAGTTAGTTTAGGGAAAATAAATGATAGGCTTCATAGGATCTTGAGTTAAGTTTAAAAGATTTCCTCTCATGCATCAGTGAATAAATGCACTATGTGATTTGGTACTAAGCATTCAGAACAGACCTGTTTTTTGATCTCTGTTGAGTTTGTGTGGGGGGTGTGGAAGGTCAGGAAGAAAAAAGGGAATGTCAAATGGCTGCTGGGAAGTACGTGTGTGCTTCCACACACTGTTCACTTCAGACCCTGTCCAAACAATACTCAAGACTTCCAATTTAAATATACTGTATTGAAGTTAATCATAATTTGTTGCATCCATGATTGTTAAGAACAGATACTGATGTTGAAACGCACTTGTTATTAGCTCCAGTGTATTTATTAATAATGCTTAATTTCTCTTATGTGAACCTACATTTTATCAGTAAATAAATCATCTGTAAGTTTCATAATACTGTCTGACTAAAACTGCCCTAATCTTTCATACTTTGGCTTGCAAGGTTGAAGAATCTTACTGATGAGACAGGCAGGCTGGTTAACCATCAAAAATGGCTTGGATTACCATGGAGTGTCTTTGAGTGTGTGTGTGGTGCGGGGGGGGGGGTTGAGAAATGTAGAAGGAAAGTTAATACTCTATTACACATGTAAGTACCTCTGAAACTGCCCTGATGATTTGCCAGTCCTCTCTAGCTATGCCCGGTGGAGTCACAGCCAGCTGGGTCTGCTGAGCCCGGCCCTCTGTGTTAACATATGTGGCAGTCTTCTCTGTGTAAGCTGCTCCTGGAAGAATAACGTCTGCCATGGGAGCTCCAACATCTCCGTGATGGCCTACATTATTTGAGAATAGAAGCAAAATATGATAATTTATAAGCCTGTCTGTGGAAACTCTTTCATTAAATTATATTTTTCTCGTGACTTATGCTAATCAGCGGCTGGGAGACAATTCTTTGCAGTATCTGATGTTGATTTTGAGCATTCCTAGGCAGGTATAGTACATCTACTATAGAAGCGTAAAGCTCCCTCTGTACTGGCCTAACATTACAGCTGTTGAGATTTTGGTTAAAAGTTTTACAGTATTTGAAATGAGACTTCCATCCCTCTAGATCACTGCTAGAATTGAGAGATGAAATCAGGGTTGAAGTCTTGTTGTGTAAGCAGGGAGCGTGCTTGCACTTACCCTGGTAAATGATGAAGCAACCCTTTGGAAGATCCTGTCGTGTGACACAGTGGTTATCTGCTCCAAGCAGGAACAGTACCTTTGGTGGGTTTTTTCGTATAGCATCAACGCCAGCTTTGTATCCCAAATCCAGAGCAGCGACTTGACTGGCCATCCTGTCAAGATGCACACTTTAAACCTGACCAATCTTGTGGCAACTTGGTTCAGCATCAAACAAGCACAGGTCTGCCATAGTATGCATCACACGCAGGTACAGCTCACTCCACACTGCCTAAAGCAAGTTACCTTCACTCACTTTGAGACATACAATTTTTTAACCTATGATGGGATTTTATCCCCCTATGTTTCACCTGCCATTTCTGCAATGTAAATAGTGGAACAGTTGGATACGAGACTGTTATAGGATTTATATAAAAAATGTATCAAGGATCATATCAAAAAGATGGCGGTTCAATTCCTAGCATATCCCTTTCGACTCATACACAGATCTATGAAAGAATCCATATGATGTTTTCTGCTTTGAACAGATTAAATTCACCACCAGTTTACTGGGAGGATTCATGCAACAGGCAGAAATGGAAGATCTCAGAAAGCATCCCAGCAGATTGCTATAGGATAAGACTCAGTAACATCATAACACATTGCCAACCTTTGGAGAACATTCAAGACCTTCCAGTCATTCCCAACTTGACTGCTCACTCGAACATTCTGTGCGATTGTGCTGGCTGCAGCGTGTATAGTTGCACCGTCCTTCCGCTGAAGAATTGAACTGCCCACTACCACCATTGGTTTCTTAGCTTCGCTCAGGACCTGGGTTTTGTTTGCAAGAGGAGAAGAAAAGGGAACAGAAAGAACAGAATCATAAAAATATTTAGTTTCCTCCTTCATTCACCTACAAAATATATAGCCACGCTACTTTACAGTATATCCTGTGAAATGCTTTTAGATGTTCTCATGACGTGAAATAATAATAATAAGTGAAACTACATCAAATGTATAGATTATTATTTTTAAGAGAGGTTTGCAATTTCCTAACAGCACACATTCCAGGATGACTCCCCCTGCTAAGTGAACCTCATACACACACATACATATTCAAACTGCTAACAAACTGAAATGCATATCAATATCAGGATGACACCAGTGTAGTCCAGGGTCTAAACAAACTAAATAACTGCATGTACTATGATCTTCCATGGAGGCCCATTCCTGACAAACTCATTCCTGTAAGACCGCAGAAATGGGAGACCTTTCTTTGTCTAGGTTCATCTGTTTTTTATTTAAGGGCCCATGCTGGCCCTTTCTGATTTCTCTTGTGCCTCAAACATATATTCTCCAAGCACTGATGACATACTGCTTCTTGAGTGCTTCAACTGTTGCTCTAGAATACCTGCACTGAATCAGTGTGTTGCATCAGCCTTTCTAATAATAATCCTTGCATTTGATATAGCGCTTTTCACGTCTTCTCGACATCTCAAAGCGCTTCACAGAAATATACTGTAAAGTGAATTGACTGTATATTTGTGGGCGAAACGCAGCAGCCAATTGCGCACTGCAGTGCCCCACAAACAGTCGTGGATTGAAAATGACCAATTTATTATTATTTTATTTTGGAGGGATTATTATTAGGCATGTGGAGTAAGGAAACTTGCCCAAGGTTTCGCCCTGCCTGGAATTGAATTCTAAACAGTGTTTCACAAGTCAACACAAAGTGCTCCATAATCTATCAATGTAAATTAAATGAATCAGAATTATATATAGCTGAATATATAACTCATGTATAGCTGAAGAACGTGAGCTCCTCTTTTTAGCCGAGTGAGGATAAAACTCAATTGAGGTACCTGACTGAACGGATGATTTCCTGAGGCAATCTCCTGCAGCACCTGTGGGGAATCTCCAAGATGATCATATGTGTAAGTCAAATCCACATTTGCCCCAACTAAAGCCACTCGGAGGTCATTGTGCAACCAGCTGTGAACAAGCAGCATGAGAAAAGAGATTTTTGACAACATTCTTAATGTTACTTGTGCATTTCCAGATTAATTCAACACCCAGACTAAAATGTATTCATTTACAGTCTTGATCTCCAATTATTGAATTTACTTTCATCTTCTAAGTCTTTCCCAACAAACTGTGAATTCATGTCCCAAAACACCTTCGCCCTCCTCTTTCGCAAAGCTTGAAACACCCTTGATAAGGGACTTGGAAAAGATTTGCTGGAGTAAGTATTCAGCAGGATCAACTTGCACCTGCTCACCAAGAACATTGCAGGGTTTGTATAGGTACAAAGCCATTTTCTAGCTCCTTGATCATGACCACAACTAACCTCTTTCGGATTCGAACGTTGAAAAGCGGGGCTTCAAAACGTGGGTTGGTGCCAACCAGCAACAGAACATCGGCCTCCTCCACGCCAGCGATCTTGGTGTTCAGCAGGTAGTTAGAGCGTAAATCCGTGCTATTTCAAAGGTAAATAACTGTTATGCACCTTACTAAACATGAAAAAAGAATTCTAATCCTCACCCTTTGCTCACAAAAAGAACCTGTTTTGCAGTTGTAAGATGCAGGTCAGTGCGCACAGCTTTCAATTTTTGGTTTTGGGTGGGACTCTAGGAAAGATAGCGAAGAGGGATGTGGTGCTTCACAAAAAGGGGAAGTTTAAATTGGAATGAAGATCACACCAGTGTTCTGGTACACCTTCCAGTGGTGTTTCTGAGCAGTTACAGATCATGGAAACTATGCCTATAATGCACCAGCATTGGTATGTTCATATCTACCAGCACTACATTCATGCACTGCAAAGACTTGCCAGCTAGACAGTATTGCAGCCTTACCCGGCTCCAGCCATGGGGAAGATCTCCTCGGTACAGAGGGAATCGCTGTTTAATCTGTTCATCAAATCCTTCAGGGCCACAAGAGCTTCAGCATCAGCCATTCCTCCAGCAATAGCAGCCACATCTTTGCTCTGCACTCCCTGAAGCTGAAGCCAGAAGAGGAAAAAAAAATTGGAAATCAAAAAGTTTAGATTTATCTTTAAAGAAATATCCCTACAAATGGTCTCATCCCACGTGTTGATGTGCAATATATTGAACCCTTCCACTCAACAAAAACATTACCCATGTGGATTCTAATGGCTTGGAACAGATTAGCTACTCATACCTTGGAAAGAGACTGTGTGCGAATAAAACTCAATCTGGATTTTTTTTAAAAAAGAGAATGTTCTTCGATCTTCTCTAACCTGCAACAACTCAAGATTCCCATCAGAAAGGTCGTGCCTGATTCTCTTAAGACATCCCAACACTTGATATATAAACGGCAAGATCTTTGAAACTCCACTTAGTGAGATGAGTGTTATTTACAAAATGATACCGAACAGAAGTAACAGTGAGATGTTAAATGTTTCATTTGTTGAATGGGTCAAATTTTAAAGTGCTTTCCCATTTAACAAACTGTCCCCTCCTCTTCAAAAGACATTTGGAAAGACTCTTAAATTTGTGGGTATGTAAAATGCAGGTATCAGCCAAACAAACTTCTTCTGTGCCCCTATGTACTTAAGCACCACTTTCACTGCGTGCTTCATATTCTCAACAGGTCAAGGGCAGTGAACTGTGTGCTTTTGCGTGCAGAGCAAAAATTAATAAATTCAAAGTAGATCAAATGGACAAACAACACAGAGAATATCGGAGGTTACACTGCGCTCCCACAAGGCAGAGGCAATTTATCAGCATGATATTAATCCCAGTGCACTGTTGGGAAATAGAATTGAGAGCAATTAATATTAATAAAGGTTGATTGACCAGACTCCTACTGTAGTGAGCAGTATACAAGGAGAGGAAAAGGTAGCAATGATTTTCTCTCACCATGCGTTATCAGCTGGCAGACTCAATGTTCTATCTATTTATGCCACTTTCATAATTTTCAACACCACCCCAAAAAACAAACGTATTGGCTTCTATTTAACATGATGCAGGGCAATTACCACTCCAGCAATTTGGATGAATGCCTCCTCCCAGGACGTAGGGACCAGTTGCCCCTCAGAATTCCTGACCATGGGCACAGTCAAGCGTTGACGTTTCAGGCCATCGTACGAAAACCTGCAGAGCCAGACAGAAAAAGCCATCAGGCTGAGCTCAGAGGGCCATCACTTCAAAAGAATTCAAGTGAAGAAACCATAATAACAGGGCAGCAATCCACTGTCACAAAGTGGGATTGTGAAAGTCTGTGCTCACATTTCTCATAGGTTCTCAGCCATGCCAGGATGACACAGACTGGAATCTAGATATTTTACTAGGACAAGGGAAAGGTCCCTGGGAAGTGTCAATTATGAATTCCCACAGCCATTTAGACAGTTTCAGATCATCTTTCTCAAAGGAAACAATTCACAGTGAAATCTGAAAATGCAGGAAGCCTGGGGTTGTTCGTTTACACTATCTAATGTTTCTCATAGTGCCTATGAAAATCTTTTTCTCCCATCTCCACAAAGCAAAATAACTGAACTGAGATCAAGCCACTCAATTTACAAAATTTAGAAACTTATTCACACATTTGTGGAGTAACTGCTAATGGCACCCCTTTATTGTGTACATGAATCTTGTATGTATTAGCTTACATCTGTCTATATTAAACAACCTAGCAACCATTTCTAGGTTAAGCGCTCTGGAACGCATGAAGGACACTATATAAATGCAAGTTGGTGGTGTTATTTCGTTCACCCATTCAATTGTCCAGATCCCTTCCAACATTTCCTTAAACGACATTCTCATACCTTGCTGCCATTAGGAACTTTTAGAAGTAAGATCTTCCATCATATAACTCCATGGAGTGAAAAGAACTAGATCTAACATCATGCATGTTCTATCAGTTTACACAGAAAACCCCATGCGCCCAATACCTGGTACCTGGTTTTATCAGAGATCCATTCTTCATTCACATCCTCATTCAGACGAGGCAGGATTCTCATCACCTCCCCGGTCCGTGTACTCACAACAACGTTACTTCCAATAGCATCCATCACATCAATGGACTCGGTTTTCCTGTTACAGAATAATAATTGAAATTGGTTAGTACAGATTGGGAGGTGCCTCATTTGAGGATTATCATAAGATTCTAGAACTAAGATCAACATCATGTTAGCTTTACATCGGAACCAAGATCGCAGAAAACAACACAATCAGAATCCTGTAGGACATATCCCCAGCAGTAAAAAAGTACCTTCCTTTCAGATTAATGATTATTAATGTGATAAATGCAAGTCTGGGCTCACATTTTCTCATGGGTTCTCAGCCATGCCTTCAGGAGAGGCACAGACTGGACTCTTGATCTTGTACAGGAGGAAGGGAAAGGTAATGCATGTGGACTCTCACAGCTATTTGGACCATTGCATAGAGAACAATTCACAGTGAGAACTGAAATCGCAGGAAGCCTGGGGTTGTTAGTTTATACTATCAAATGATTCTCACTGTGACTGAGAATCTTTTGCTTCTATCTCCACTTGGTAAAATAACTGAACTAACAGATAAAGCGAGATTAGAATAGCCAATTTATTAGATTATGTCAACCTGGCTAAATCACATGCTCCAGACAGTTTCAAAGTAGAGCAAAAGGGTACAAAAATTACAATTAGTCACTAAGACACTACACCTTGTCTCCCAGGGCCTGGAGGTGAAAGCATAAGGCTTGGATGTCAAAGCCCCAACAGGGCAAAGATCGATGATATTCGCTGACATTTCGGACATGAACATCTTCTCGATATACGTGCCAACTTGCATCTCATTCCCTCTTCCAGTTGTACCCAAGTCGTCCACACCTGCCACCTCACTGGCAAATCTGCAGGGGAATACATCAAGTTACTGTCAGATTTTATGGATTCTGCACAGAGAACAATCAGTGTTAGTCATGTAAGTAGAATCATGGATATTCACCAGAGGGGTTTAGATCATATAGTGAATACAACAAAATGTGTCCCAAGTGGTCTGTAACTCATGGGAGTACAACACAAACACTCAAATTAAAAGCATTACATTAAAGATTGTGCATTAACTTTTCACTGTAAACCTTGGTGACACCACCTTTAGTACTGCTCAATATGTGCATGTTAAGAATCAATTAACAGGTCTGACTGTCTTGTCCTTATTTTAATCAGTCCTACACAGAATTACAAGGATTATACAGCAAGGAAACAGGCCAGTCTGCCCAATTTGTCGTGAGGCCGCCCCACCCTGAGCCCCCCCCACTAGTTCCACGACTGATCCCACGGATTTATTTTGCATTTAGTTCATCTTCATCCTTATTCTTTTTAACCTTGTTAATGTACTGGATTTCTCAATTAATAATAAATAAATAATCCTTGCATTTGATATAGCGCTTTTCACGTCGGGAGGACGTCCCAAAGCGCTTCACAGAACACACTGTGAAGTGAATTGACTGTATATTTGTGGGCAAAACGTGGCAGCCAATTGCGCACAGCAATGTCCCACAAACAGTATTGGATTGAAAATGACCAATTTATTATTGTTTTGTTTTGGAGGTATTATTATTAGGCACGTGGAGTAAGGAAACTTGCCCAAGGTTTCACCCTGCCTGGAACTGAACCCAGGTGTCTCGCTTGCAAGGCGAGTGCTCTAACCACTGAGCTACAGGACTCCACACTAAGACAATCAGACAGGCACCAAATAAAATGAAATCACCCAACAGACAGGCAATGTGTTACCTGATGCAGCGGGTACAGTGGATACACCTGGTCATTATTGTTTTCACGAGTGGCCCAATGTTCTTGTCCTCCACGGCTCTCTTGCTCTCGTTAAACCTGCTTCTGTCGGTGCCGAACATCATCGACTGATCCTGCACACAATGCAATATTGTACAATAAATATAGGAGGACCTGGATGGCAGCAGAACAGTGACCCATACTTTGGAATAACAAGATGGCCAGTAACATTTAACTGAAATCATAGTGTACACTATTGAAATAAATAACTTTCCTGACAGAGGAAGTTCAGATAGCATCCATAATCCACCTGAACTTTGTCACATGAACTTACTTATTACATTATCACTTATTGCTGACCAACTGGAATTTGGTAGTTTTTGTATTTCTGGAGCAATGAAACTGTCCATTCAAGCCCATTTTTACCTCAGAGTCAGCGATAACAGTCCAGATGATGGAAATAAGCTTAAATTACACCATCTCATTTGGTGTTCTTTGAGCTTAGAGCTGGTCTCTTTTATCTCTAATAAATTGTCAGCTTTATAGATTCAGCATTTACAATTCATCTCATTCACACCATCAACTGGGGACATTTAAAATCATTTTAGAGACTTTTCTCTTTGACCATGCCCTACTGTCACCTCTCTGTTCTCCCTGTTAAGCACTCCGAGATACTATCCACCTTGAAGGGTACTACTTAAATGCAAGCTGTTGTTGTTAGTAATATCAATGATTTTGCATGTACCTGGAGATCACACTCTCCTCCTTGGTCACAGATTGGACAGTCCAATGGGTGATTGGCCAGCAGAAACTCCATCACACCCTCCCTGTCGGAAAGATATTTTTCGATTGACGTTAAAAATAAAGCACAATGTTGAGACCAAAAAAAAGTTGTTGCACTGCTAACGTGATTTATTACACTCATACAAGATTGTAAACATTCAAATAGAAAACAGCAGATAGCAACATCTTCCCCGTTTACAGAACTCTTCCCCCTGCTGTACTGTGCACAACTCAAAAATCACTTAAAAATTGATCAACACTCATAATTCCTCCACTTTCCTTCCTGTTTGGTGTTCCCAACTGTTTTTGTGAAGAGCTTTGGACACGTTCATCCTACGTAAAGAGTGCTATATAAGTGCACTGAAGTAGTGGTACACTGCACCACAGGGTTCTCTCTAAATATTGGTTCAACAACCTATATGGGTTAACTTTCAGACTGGTTTTGCTGTATGTTCACCCAGTAATCTGAAAAGGGTTTGGATAAACACTGTACCTGGCTTTCCTGCTTTTCTCTGAATTTGTTAGGATATTCCACCCCTTCATCACTGGCATGGCACAGGCAGCCACAGGCTAAAGAAAAAACACAAGGGCAACACAGTTAGTGGCTGGCATTTGAAGTTACTAATGGAGCAATAAGGAATTGTGAGTCAGCAGGACATAACTGTAGCGATGCCAGAATTTGTGCTAATGGGGCCCCCAACTGCATGTGTTCCAATAGAAAACAAATTCCAGGCGACAACAGTGTCCGAGAAAATAGTGTGTAAAATCTAGCACAGCACAGCCAGAAAGTAACATCTATAAGAGTCCTTCTTGCAAAAACATCAGCAACTATGCCATTTCCACGGTGAGCGTAATCTCTTTGTCAGACTCAATAATAACTGTTTGCAAGTGAAATAAAATGTTCACCGTTTAAAAAGGAAAAAAACAATACTTACCCAGAAAAATCAACAAAATGAAAAGAAGAATCTTCAACAGAGTTAACAGAGAGACAACTCCACAGTTATGACTGTATCACATTCAACATTCCTCCAGTGTCTAAACAGTTGTCCCGGTATAAAGACTCACTCAGAAGATTCTGCTCCCCCGATGCAAACTAGTCTGCTTTCTTACACTCGTATTCCCTAAAGTCTCAATTTATCATTTTTATCACTAGTTAAATTATTGCTCCCTTTGCCTTAAATGCCTGTTCAAGAACTCAAATTCTATTCTCTAGTGGCAATGGATCCAATTAGATGTCTCTTGGTTTATATTGTGCCTAGGCTACCAAAGCACTTTACCCTGATGGGCAGATACATCTACCTTGAAACTGCCCTATTTCATCAGTGACATTACTCATTTCCAGCTACTGTTACACTTCTAGTTCAGCAATTCCATTCTACATCTGTCCCATTATAAATACAGGTTTTGTCTATTACCTTGGGAGCTCTCTCAATTTCCACCAGGCACATTCTGCAATTCCCAGCGATGGAGAGCCTATCATGATAACAAAAACGAGGGATTTGGAAACCAGCTTTCTCACAGGCCTGCAATCAAGAGATTATTTCAGTTAATACTACGACTATTACTAATAATAATCCTTGCATTTTGATAAAGCACCTTATCACATCTTCGAGATGTCTCAAAGCACTTTACATAATATACTGTAAAGTGAATTGACTGTATATTTTGTGGGCAAAACCGGCAGCCAATTGTGCACAGCAGTGTCGCACAAACAGTTGTGGATTGAAGTGACCAATTTATTATTTTTTTGAAGGAATTATAGCAAGCAAGCAATAGCAAAATGGCACTCAAACAGATTAAATACAGTATGTTAGATGGGAAATGTATTACAAGGCGAGTACATCTACTTTTAGTTCAGAATACTCCAATAATAATCCTTACAACAACAAAAATACAACAAAATGACATTAGTAAAGCGACTTTTATGTCGGGAGGACGTCCCAAGGCGCTGGACAATCAGTGTTTCAAACCCGAGCTGGGGGGTGGTCGGGATTGAGGAGGGTGGAGGGCAGGGGGGGAAGCAATGTGATTGAAAGCATGGTCAATTAGGACAGTCTTGAGATGGTCTTGAAGGAGGCAAGGGAGGGGGCTAGGCGGAGGGATTACAGGATGGAGTTCCAGAGAGTAGGGGCAGTGGCAGAAGGCCCACTTAGCAATGGTGGGGCAGGCTGGAGCACGCTGAGCGGAGAGAGCGGGCAGAATGGTAGGGGGTTAGGAGGTCGCAAGAGGTAGGGGAGAGCAAGGCCATGGAGGGCCTTGAAGGCGAGGACCAGGATCTTGAACTGTATCCTCTGTTTGATGTTAAGCCAGTGGAGTCGGGCGAGGATGGGGGTGATAGGATCACGGAGCCTGGAGCGGGAGAAGACATGGGCTGCAGAGTTCTGGATGATCTGCAGCCTATGGAGAGGAGTTGGGGAGGCCGAAAGCAAGGAGTTAGCATAATCAAACCTGGATGTTATGAATGCGCATATGAGGGTTTTGGTGGCCTGCGGTATGAGACAGTAGCTGAGTCGGACGATGTTGTGGAGGTGGGGGAAGGCAGAGCAGTACATGGCACGGATGTGGGGTAGAAAGGATTGTTGAGGGTCAAACAAGATGCCAATGTTCCGGACTGGCTTAGTAAGATGGAGTGTGCATCTGTGAATGGTGATGCTGTCAGTGCCTGAGGTGTGGAGGCGCTGATGGAAGCCAATCAGGAGGGCCTCAGTCTTGTTGAAATTCAACTTAAGAAAGTTAGCTCTCATCCAGGACTTGATGTCTGACAGACATTCTGTCAGGACAGCAGTGGCCCTGGAGTCAATGGTGGAGGCAGAGAGGTACAGTTGGGTGTCATCTGCATACATGTGGAAGGATGATGTCACTAAGAGGGAGTATATAGATATTGAAGAGGAAGGGACCAAGGACAGAGCCCTGAGGAACGCCGTACGAGACGGTACAGGGTCTAAAGAAACCACTTGTGGGGATGAAGTGCAGGAAGTGAGAGGTACGATCTAAACCATTCAAGGACAGAACGGTGTAGGTGGAGGTGAGAGGAGAGGCAGTGGATGAGGATAGAATGGTCAACAGTGTCGCTGCATGGAGGGCACTGTATAAGCGCAAGTTATTGTTGTTGAAGCGTTGTGTGTATTTTCTATTTTGAATGTGAATGTGTATTTTGTAGGCCAAGTCAATTTACACAGAGCAGTGTCTCACCAACTGCCATGCAGTGAATGGCCAATTTTATTTGTGGGATTAGCGGGCTGGATACTGGGAGAAACTCCCTTTTCTTTTTGAATAGTGTCATGCAATCTTTAAAGTCTGCCTGAAACTGAATAGCAATTTTAGCTTTAAATCAGATTCTGATATATGGAACTCAACATCAATAATCCGCAGGGAAAACAAATCCAATTTCAACAAAGGAAAGACTGGCAACCAATTTTCATCAACTCCGAGCTTGTGAAAATCCATTTTCACAATTTGCTGCTTTCAACAACAACAACAAGATTCCATTTATAGAGCGCCTTTCACGTCGGGAGGACGTCCCAAGGTGCTGGACAGTTGGGTCAGGACCTGAGCCTTGGGGGGGAAATGGTGAGGGGAGAGAAGGGAGGGAGCGAGGAGGGGGGAAATGGTCAGGGTGAGAGGAGGGGAGGGAGCGAGGAGGGGGTAGAGAGTCGAGAGGGGAGCTGAAGGCACAGTCAAAGAGAAAGGTCTTGAGACCGGCCTTGAAGGAGGAAAGGGAGGAAGCAAAGCGAAGGCACTGGGGGATAGAGTTCCAGAGCCTCGGGGCTTTCATTCTCTAGCAGTAAATTTTTAAAAAATGTTTCTGTAGCCACTTAAAATCTAACTTGAGGCAATGTGTCTAGCTTCACACGTAGGTTGTCCATTGCCATGAAACAGGCTACTTCTAGGAGTTCTCACCTTGTCAGTCAAACACATTTCTCATTTGTTATTGCCAGGTTTGGACCTGCATTCTTGAATTACATTTACTAAGGCTCTTAGCTTACCTGCAGTACAGTGGTTCCAGGCTCTACCATAAATGACTTCCCATCCACAAACACTTCAACCAAGTTGCTAGCTGCTGTAGCGGTTGTGCGAACTATAACATTGAGGAAAGAGGGAAATGAGATATAATGAGTTACTCATGGTTTTCTCTCAAGACAATAAATCCAGCACAACAGCAATATGAGTATACATTTATATAGTACCTTTCATGGCAGGAGGATGTCTCAAAGTGTTTCACACAGGGAACCTGAGCTTGGAGGCTGGGGGATGGGTGGGGGGTAGCGGTTGATGAGGAGGGAGCTGAGGAAGCATGGTCGGGATTATAAAAGGTCACCCTATGACTTACAGTTGAGTGTATTTCTAAAAAAAAAAAAGAGCATCTAGCCTCAGTGAAATTCTCTCCATTAACTGGTCATCAGCACACCCAAAGTAAAATGGCATTCTGCTGTAGAGACAAAGAGGAAAATTATAGGGGTTTGAATAGAAAAGGCAAACTCAAAGCAGAATACTCCAGGGGTGGGGGTTGAATGCAACATCTACTGGTGCCGTTTCCCGCCACTCATCCAATTCTGTATTACTTCCTCAGGTCTGCATGGAGGAGCAGAATTTCAATCCCATTCGGAAGGGAGCAAGCTGGAGAAAAAAAGGTTGGGGTGGGAAGAAGGTATATAGCTACATTTTCTGTGATTTTTTTTTAGGCCACTTTTATTGGTGTCGGGGTGGGGGGGGGGGTGGAAGAGAAGAAGATAATAAGTGTTTTATGTTCTAAATATTCTCTCCCCACTTACTCTTTTCCTTCACCGCTTGTGATAACTGGCAAAACAAAGTGATTTTAGGTATAATCCAGATTAGGAAAATATTGAACTGCTAACAGACCAAAAGAGCTACTTCCTCAATGACCAAACTAAGAACATGCAGATGGCATATTGGAGCTTAAATACAATTTTATCAATCTTCAAATAAAGTTTTGCAGATGTACATGACTCTCAGTGTAACAGCGACCTGGAAAAAGTTGGTTGAGAGTAGATTGTTCAAAAACATAACCACATTAAAATACTTGGTGACAATGTACAGCAGCAACGCACTATTTGGTTTCCATTTTCAGATCTTCCATATGAAGGATACAAACATTGCAGCTCTATCTAGAGGCATAGAACAGACACAACAGCCTGGCAATTTACACATGTTTTTCCGAGCTTCAGCTCCACCTAAATCTGCGAAATCCACTTTTTAAAATTAAAAACATTTTTTGAATTTGGTTATGATAAGGATTCAGATATGGAACACATAATTGCGGAACACAATTGTAATACAAATTTCTGGCTTTTAAATTGTTGGTAAATGTTGCTCCCAGGAAGCTGGAAGCTGTCAATATTGGCTGAACATTGTCTCACTTTTTTCATCCAGTGTCAACAGTGAACACTGTCAGTCCTCATGTCATCAAAGTGAGTCGCGAATTTAGAGGTAAATTGTAGCCAGACCTGTGCTGACTCTGTGTGCAGAGAGGAGAGAATTCTGATCCACGATGCAGAATACTGGAGATTGTGTGAGAGCAGCCCACAAGGACATGCTCCGACTTTCCCTCCGTTTAACAAACTCTGATCTAACAAGGATCAACTCACTCCTGAAATATAATATAATACAATAATAATCTTTGCATTTGATATAGCGCTTTTCACGTCTTCGACATCTCAAAAACGCTTCAGAGAATAGACTGTAAAGTGAATGGACCGTATATTTGTGGGCGAAATGATACATTTTATGTATATTCCATGCAAGGCACCGTACAAAATGCACAAGCCTCTCAATATATTACAGCGAATGAGCCAACAATGCTTCCCTAGTACTCAGATTATATTACCATTGTTATTCGCTCCCAGGCAACCTTTGGCAGATTGGGAGATGCCTGCTAGTGTCCTGTGAAAGACAGGCAATCGCAGCATGTCGATAACCTGCAACAAAAAAAAGCAGTATTAAGTTAGAATTGAGCTACATGAAGGCATTCATTGAAACTTTTCCTTCTGTCCTACAAAGCTAGTACTTCCTTCCTCTGTAACTACCATTCCTCAGCTGAGGGAGCAGCAGTGGGTAACTACAATAATAATCCTTGCATTTGATGTAGTGCTTTTCACGTCTTCGAGACGTCTCCAAATGCTTCACAGAATGTACTGTAAAGTGAATTGACTGTATATTTGTGGGCAAAACACCAATTGTGCACAGCAGTGTCCCACAAACAGTCATGGATTGAAGTGACCAATTTATGGAGTCCTGTAGCTCAGTGGTTAGAGCACTCGCTTTGCAAGCGAGAGACCTGAGTTCAATTCCAGGCAGAGGGCGAAACCTTGGGCAAGTTTCCTTACTCCACACAGAGCTTAATAATAATCCCTCCAATAAAACAAAAAACAATAATAAAATTGGTCATTTTCAATCTACGACTGTTTGTGGGACATTGCTGTGCGCAATTGGCTGCCGCGTTCGCCCACAAATATACAGTCAATTCACTTTACAGTGTGTTCTGTGAAGCGCTTTGGGACGTCCTCCCGACGTGAAAAGCGCTATATCAAATGCAAGGATTATTATTATTATTATTGTTTTTTTCTTGAGAGATTATTATTATGGTGCAAGTGGTGCAGTCCAACCAGGGCCTATGTGGTTTTACGGGGGCTCCACTAATTGGCGGCAGAACAACTCGTGTTCTCTCCTCCCCATTTCGATATAGCCATGTGTGCCCTTCACAGGGAGAGAGTACATGAGGAGACAGAGATGGTAAAGGTAAGCAAAATTTTAGATTTCAGAATCAGGAAGGGGGCCCCTCACCAATTGCACGAGGGACCCTGGGGTCTTGTGCCACTGGGGAACAGATGATCCATTTCCAGATCTCTTGGTCCATACCATTCCCTGGAAGATTTCTGGAAATATAACATGATGCGTTGGCCTGGACAACTAGTGCTCGGAGTCTCTTCCCCTCTGCACTTTGATGCCCCCAAACAACGCAGCCAAGTTTGGTGACTCCCTGCAACCAGAATCATAGGGCAATCATTCAGCGTTTGGATCACTAAAAGGACAGCTACTCTAGTTAAGCAAGCTGTACAAACTGATTATTGAACTACTCACACATGTTATCAGTGATTGAACCAATTATTCTACATTTAGGAAAAAGTTATAAAACATTTATGAGACAGATTTATCCCATCGTCCACCTGAGGCACTGTTAATTTATGTTATCAGTCACTTTTAAGCATTGCACAAAAGGCCAGGATGTATAGTACTAATGTTTATAAAGATCTTGTACACTCTACGTTTGTTCACAATAAACATAATTTCAATGGGCTTTAAACCATTATCCACGTTATAATTTTCTTCCAGCAAATCATAAACCAACTTGAACAAATAAACGTAAAATGCAACAAAGTGGAGGTAGTTTTGTTCGGATTGAGCAGAAAATGAACCTTCTTGCAATCCAGATCCATAATCCTTTGGGTTCTGGACAAGATAACAAATAATATCAAGGTTTGGGAAATGTTAGGAGTAAGATTTTACATCAATAATAATACATGCATTTTATATCACATAAAAACATATCAAGCACTTCAAAGCATAGAAGAATAATGACTTTTCCCAGACGGAGTCACAGAGGATTCATTCCTCCATCACCACCAACAATTGCTCTCCTCCCCCCAGCACCTTCCCACACCAGCGCAGGAGATGCAACGCCTGCCCTTTCAGCTCCTCCCATACCACTGTCCAGAGCCCCAAACACAGTTTTTAAATAAGACAGTGATTTACGTGTACTACCACCAATGTAGTTTACTGCAATCGCTGCTCACAATGTGGTCTCTCTCCTCTTCATTGGGGAGACCAAACTCAGATTGGGTGACCCATTTGCCGAACACCTCCGTTGTGTCCGCAAACACAACCCCGAACTTCTAGTTTCTTGCCACTTCAACTCTCCCTGCCCCTCGCACTCTGACCTCTCCATCCATGGTCTTTTACTCTGTTCCCATGAGCCAAGTGTAAGCTTGAGGAACAGCACCTCATCTATCTATCTGCTCGGGACCTTACAGCCCTCTGGCCTCGATATTGATTTCAACAATTTCAGACCATAACAGCTCACCTTCCCCCTCCCCCACTTCTGTGACCATGACCACTTCATCTGGGTCCCAGACGCACCTTTATCTCTCTCTGGTCTGCCTATTTTGTTGCAATCCCCCCCTACTTTATTTTGCATCATTAACTCCTCAATTCCCCTGTTGCAATCCCCCCCCCACTTTATTTTGCATCATTAACTCCTCAATTCCCCTGTTGCAATCCCCCCCCCACTTTACTTTGCATCATTAACTCCTCAATTCCCCTGTTGCAACCCCCTCCCCCACTTTATTTTGCATCATTAACTCCTCATTGACCCACCATCCCCTGTCCTCTACCCCATTTTCTCCTTTGTCTTCCTTTGCTCTGCCTCTCCCCCTCTCTGTTAGCCCTTCAAAAAAAAGCCTCTCCCTCCCCACCTGTGCCCCAGTCCTGCCGAAGGGTCCTGGACCTGAAACGTTGACTCACTTTCCTTTCTCGGCGGATTCTGTTTTTGTTCCAATTAGAGAGAGGTCCATTTCAGCAAACGTCAGTGTCGCTGCACAGACTGAGGTGATCAGGTCACATTTCATCACAAAGCCGCCGCCCGCACAGTGTGAGAGGGGGTGGATTCACAGCCACAGCCGCCTGTGAGCCCCCGTTAGGCAGACACACACTGTACCAGAGTTGGGTTTCAGGCCCCAGGACATCACCCAGGAGACGGCCTCAGTCAAGGGCAAATCCCTCAAATGCTCGACCCGCGGCCTCTGTGTACCGGGCCGGCGGTCGGCCCGCGAGCGCAGCACCGACTTCACACGGTCCGAAACTCAAGCAGCGGCGGTCGAAACCGGTTTTAAATAACGAAACGATCACAATATCTCTCCTCACCTTCCTCGCTACCGCTCGGCTCCGGGAACCAACGCAACGCTATGGCGGCTCGGGGCTCGGCTTCTTTCGGCTCCTCTCGGCTCGAGGTCAGAGACCTCGGCTCTTCTCGGCTCCTCTCGGCTCGGGGTCGGAGACCTCGGCTCCTCTCGGCTCTTCTCGGCTCCTCTCGGGTCGGAGATGTCGGCTCTTCTCGGCTCCTCTCGGCTCGGGGTCGGAGATGTCGGCTCTTCTCGGCTCCTCTCGGCTCGGGGTCGGAGATGTCGGCTCTTCTCGGCTCGGGGTCGGAGACCTCGGGAGTCGATTCGACGAAGCCATTTTATGAAATCTGTTTATCACCAATCGAGTTAATTTAATTGGGGTTTATACGCGATTTAAATGCGAAACAGTAATATGTGATTTTTGAAAACGTGTGTATATATATATATATTGATGAGTTTTGGCTCATTCTGCCGGTGACGTGGCCGTTGCCCCGCCCCCTCCCGGCGAGTATATAAAGGCTCTGGGCCGGCGCTCGGGTCTCTTTCGGCCGCCGGCAGAGCGAGTTGTCGGTGCGGGTTGTGTTAAATCTCGCCTTTAAATTCTATTGTAAGCGGTGAAGGCCATGGGATTCGGGGATTTGAAAAGCGTCTCGGGCCTGAAGGTGCTCAACGAGTACCTGGCGGACAGGAGCTACATCGAAGGGTGAGTGAAGGAAGGAGGAGGAGGGGGGGGAGAGGCGGCGGCTGCGGGGGTGGAGGGCGACCCGCGTGAGGACGGGCCGAGGCCTGACACGGAGGGAGAACACGGTGGTGGGGTGGGGGGGGAGCGAGTGTGACCAGAGGGAAGTTGGTACTCACCCCCCACCATCCCGCCAAACCGATGGGAAAATCAGGGTTTGTCTGGAGTACAGATTTGGCTCAGGTCAATACCACCGAAGGGTTGATTTCGATATGATGGGGGTTTTTTTTTTGCCTTTTTTTTTCATCAAAGTCTCCGGTTCAGCCCTGAAGCGCGAGTTCGCCCTCTCTGTCTGTCTGTCTGTCTGTCTGTGTCTGACTGACTGACTGACCTACGGCGGGCGGCCCCTCGCTCTGCAGAGCACAGAAGTCTTCCCTCCCCTTTCTCTCCCTTTTACCCCTTCCCCGAATGAGAGAGAGCGTGAGGTGTCTCAAACCTGTCACCTCCACAGTTGCTGCTATTTCTAGAGTGACGGAGCGTTAACAGCTCAACCCGAACCCACCCCATGTGTGAGCATCGGGGTCCACACGACTCAAAAAATCCCATTGCAGTCCACTTTGCTGGTCGTGATTTTTTTTTAAAAAAAAAATTCCGCTACGTTTCTCGTGTCCCTCATTCGGACTGTTTGCCACACAGACAATCTCGGTTTCCTCGTGGATTTGCTGACGCAATCTGCTTGATATTTGTGTAGTCCATTACACTTACTTCCAGGTGAAGTGATTAAATCTAATTTGTGCTTTCCCTCTTGGGTTTTTCTGGGCCTTTGCAGATATTGTGTGTGTACAGTCAACCTCACATAAGTTGTATCAGTTGGGACCATACTTTTAATGTAACTTATGCAAAGTATGAGTTTTATCAAACTGGTATACAATAAAAACTCTTGAACAGGAACTTGGGTAAATGTACCACTAAGGCAATTATGTGATTTATATACAGATCAGACTTGTGTGAGGTTTACTGTACATGTATATAAAAAGGTGCTGTTTATCTTGTATGATATCAAATGCCATACGTTTGTATTGTGTACTCAACAAGTAGTTTGGTTGCAGTTGACTATCCAGTAATTTGAGTTTTAAATTTTTTTTGAAGGTATGTTCCTTCACAAGCAGACATAGCTGTGTTTGAAGCTCTCGGTTCTCCTCCCTCAGCTGACTTATACCATGCACTTCGGTGGTTCAACCACATTCGGTCCTATGAAAGCACAAAGACGAGGTACGTTTCATGATGAGTGTACATAGAACAATTTTCGGAATTGACTATATTGTAATGGGGGCTGGTGTACATATAACCCTTATTAACTTCCACACAATGGACACAATTTCAGTAATTGAAATAAATTGTACAATTTTCAGGATTTATTGTTAATATTCTGGTTATTTACAATGTATGTTAATTGCTAACATTGCTCAGTAACATAGAATTCTAAATATGGATCAATTGAACAGATTGCAGCTGAATGCCCCCACCAACTGGTTTGTCTGATCTCATTTAGTGACTTGCAAGGGGCCTTATAAGGGTTCACTTTTGATCTAGCTTCATTTGGCCTGGTAGAGGTAGAACCCATGAAATGTATTCTAGAGGAATTCGTATTTAAAATGTTGAGGATCTATTTTTTCTTTTTAACACTAATTGATGTGTACCTGGCACCAATCTTGCTAATTGTTTTTAAACTACAGCACCGTGTGTGAATTTCAGATCTTATTTAGTAGTTGCTCCTTCTGTCATAATTTTCAAATAGTACAACTCTTGGTTAATGCTGAACAGCCAGAATGTTTCTACAAAGAGCATTGAGTTGAAATTCTCCAACTGCAGTCCTCCCATCAATTTTCGGTATTCTTCTAACTTGTCCTTCCCTACAGTGCTCCATTCAGTGGTATAATGGTATAACAAATACTTTTTGATAAGGAAGTGAGCTTAAAATTCAAGCTTGGGTTTCTGAAGTTACAGGCCTCTTGAAGTTTTAAAAAAAGCCTCAATACTAGAGTTTTATTTTAAAGGACGTAAGTTTATTCGCTCTCTTGATGAAGTGGGTGTTTTAATCGTTGTCAGGTGGTAAATTAACCTCTGGTTTCTCCCATTGTCAATTAAGGAAAATGCTGATGGGGTTTTCAATGTTGTCCCTAAGATGCTAGGAATCTTGTCCCATTGGTGCCCCCATTCTTCTTCTTCTAAGAAGAATGGCCTTCAGCCACTTTGCCCCCACACACTCTGGAACTCCACCCTGGAGTGCCTCTGCCTTGACTCCTTCAACACCCTTCTTTTTGTCCGTGCCTTTGATCACCCTCCTCCCTGCCTGCCCTCCACCCTCCCTGATGCTGACCCCCAGCTAAGGTCCGAAACACTGACTGTCCAGCAGCTTGGGATGTACTCCCAACCTGAAAAGCGCTACACAAATGTAATTTTGTTGTTGTTCTAGACCAGTTTGACGAAAAGTTTCTGTACTACTTGCCTACCTCATTGTTCTATCTGTTTACAGTCTTCCGGGTATTAAAAAAGCCCTTAGTAACTATGGTCCAGCAAATGTAGAAGATTCTACGCCAGCAGCGCAAGATGATGATGACGATGACATTGATCTCTTTGGATCTGATGAGGAAGAGGTGGGTTCTGAAAGACCACTTAAGCATTAACTGAGTGGTTTTAACCTGGAAAATAAGCTTGTGCTTCTGGTATCCACCAGAGGTAAATAAATTCTTGCAAGAAGGCAGATCATAATAATCCTTGCCTTTGAAATAGCGCCATATCGTGTCATTGAGAAGTCTCAAAGTGCTTCACAGAGTATACTGTAAAGTGGATTCACTGTTTATTTTGTGGGTGAAATGTGGCAGCCAGTTGCGTGTAGAAATGTCCCACAAACAGCTGTGGAATGAGTGACCTTTTTTATTTGGGGGATTGTTGGCCAGGACACCGGGAGAAGCTGCTGTCTCTTTTCGAATAGTGCTATGGGATCTTTAACATCCATCTGAACGCAGATGGGACCGCAGTTTAACACGTCCGACAATGCAACACCCCCACAACTGCATTAGAGTGTCATCTTAGACTATGTGAATCCAAGCCCCAACGGGAGGATTGATCCCACAACATTCTGACTCAGAGGCGAGAGTGCTACTACTATTGCCGGGGTGACGAACATCATCTAAGGGCCACTCTGCTGCTTTTGGAGTGTCACTTCCAGATGAAAGTTGACAGATGCTTGTAAAAATCCTATTTGCTTTATTGCCAAAGAAACTCATTAGTAATTGCCATTGTTTCTACATTAGTTTCTACACTTCTTTCAGAGGTTTGAGGCTGGTTTTACTGATGATTTCCGATTCACCATCTTTCGGCTGAATTTATGATTGATATGTCATATAATCTGATAAAACCAGTCAGGATCTTTCTTTTTTGGCATATCTTGAAATTGTAAGTACCAAATTAAGCTGTTTGTATCTTTTCAGGAAAGTGAAGAGAGCAAAAAGATGAAGGAAGCACGTCTGGCTCAATATGAAGCTAAAAAATCCAAAAGTATGTATACTACCAATTTTTGTAAAAGGGTCAGTCTGTACTAAAAAATAAATAATAATAATCCTTGCATTTGATACAGCGCTTTTCACGTCTTCTAGACTTCTCAGAGTGCTTCACAGAATATGCTGTAAAGACAAACCCCTTTCAATAGGCAAAACTGAGTGCTTGTGGTGGGATTCCTGATGGGAATGTCTGGGCAACTGTCAACTTTCCTTTTTATTCGTCATCAGTGATGGAATAGTCAACTTTACCAGCCTATCAGTCGGTGTTAGACTGATTTTGTAAGTGATGGGTATTAAAACGAAGGCAACATTCTTGAAACCGTTAGGGTTCAGCGCATTGCTTCAATATTGCTATGTTGGTTGTACATTTGGGTATATACAGAAAGCTGAGACCGAGTAACGTCTGGTGGATTTATGTTGTGAGAAGGAAACTGGTTTTAATGATGATTCAATTCACCATCTTTCGGCTGAAATTATGATGCAACTTGATTTAAATCTGACAGAAACCAGTTGACCTTTCTGTTGTAGGTCTCGTCATTTTGTACTGTTTTCCTGTACTCCTTGCACAATAGAGTGACACCGCCCCTCCCCCAGCGTTCAGACTGAAATATGTGCATTAGTAACTTCTACATGATGGGCATCTCATTATTCATCAGTCAATTTACTGACTTTTTTGTAGGCTTGCGGTTTTCTATTGGACATTCCTAGATTTTAAATTGTCTGAGATGGGTGGATCGATCTAAATGTAATGACATTGGAAACTGTTCAGTAGTAGATGTCCTATAATGTCATATGAATTTGCTTTTCAGAGCCTGCCCTTATTGCGAAATCATGCATTCTGTTGGACGTGAAACCATGGGATGATGAAACGGACATGTCAAAACTGGAAGAGTGTGTGCGCACTGTGGTGATGGATGGTTTAGTTTGGGGATCTTGTGAGTATTTGCTTTTTCTGTGTTGAAATGATACATATTACTGTATCACAAGCACGGTTGCCTGATTACTGATGGTTTGTCATCAGCCAACCTGCATTAATTGCCAGATATGGCCTTGCCTGTTGTGTTTTGTTTATACTATAGAATTGTGGACCTAGACTACAACTTTTATTGTTGTTTAATTGAGTTGGGTGCATCCAGCTAACTGCGACCAACCAATGTGGATTTATGTTGTGAGAAGGAAGCTGGTTTTAATGATGATTCAATTCACCATCTTTCGGCTGAAATTATGATGCGACTTGATTTAAATCTGAAAGAAACCAGTCAATCCTTTCTGTTTGCAAGTTTTGTCATTTTGTGCTGTTTCCCTATACACCTTGCACAATAGAGTGGCCCCCTCTGTGTTCAACAACTTGGATTTACATAGCGCCCTCCACGCCGGAAGGCGTCTCAGAGCGCTTCACAGTAACGAATCCCGGGGCTGAGCCACGGGGAGGAAGGTGACCAAAGGCGCGGTCGAAAAGAAAGGTCTTCAGAAGGGACCTGAAAGTAGGAAGAGAGGGTGCGAGGCCAAGGGAGTGAGAAAGGGAATTCCAGAGCCTTGGGGCATAGTGGCTGATGGTACAGCTGCCGAGGGTGGAGCAGAGGACTCAACGGGATGAGGGGGAGGCCAGACCCAGAGGATCAAAGGCAACGGGTACTGTTCGGGCTGAAATATGTGCACTAGTTACTTCTGCATGTGGGCATTCATCTCGCATTCATCTATACTATAAAGACGAAGTGACTGTGTTTCCACCAATAACGTAATAACTGATTGACGAAGAGACATGATTTGTACCTCATCAGAAAGGTCTTGCGGGCATTTTTTTTCAGGGATCTCCTATCGTTGAGCTATATTTTAAAAAATGCTTTAATTAAGCCCTAAAATATGAGGTGTGCATGGTATTCTGCGACAGAGGAAATCACACACCCTTCTAAAGAGATCCATCTATACTAATATTTCTGCAACAAATGTATGGCAGGTTTTTCGGGTTGTCCTGGGAGCTAGAGTCCTCCCAACCAGGAGTCCTACTTATAGGAGTCCTCCCACTGAGTCTTCCCAATAGCACATTTTCTAAGCGAAAATTAAGACTTTCAAGGACAAATTAAAAATGCCAGACAAAAGAGAGAAGGCTGATCAAATAAAACTGAAGAAGAAAGAACAGCACGGCTGGATTTGAATGCTGAAACAATTCCAAAAACATGGCAAAATGAATTATCTTCTCAAAGAACAGCCCAGCAGGACTTGCATGTAAACACGGAAAAATGAATTACCCTCTCAAACCGCAGCACGGCTGGACTTCAAAGTAGAAAGGCATGCAAAGGTGTACACCGTGTCTATGGCATGTTAAATGGTTTGTGAGTGATATCACTGAAATCTACATTCCATATTGGATCCTTTGGTTGCAAGCGTAGCTGCAGTGGGTACAGCTTGTCAATCATAAACAAAATGCAATAGCCAAGGCCATGTCTGCCTCTTGTTCCAGACATGAATGTTGTTCATGACATGCTGTTGCATTTTGTTAATGCGATAGAAGTGTGTACCTGGACTTAATATTGTGCAAGAACTAAATTTTGAACATTGGGTTACATCTACATGCTTTGATTATAAACTTTTGCAGATAAATTGTAATAGGCCATACTTTGGGAATCATGCTTTGATATGAGTTGTTGTCTTTCATACTGATGTAAATGCGATAGAAAAAAATAGAATTGCTTCTATTGCAAATTGGGTTTTGAATTGCTGCACTAAAAACATAGCAATATGGTTCTTCATGGGCTGAAATGTATTTAGACAATCCAGGTAAAATCTACAAAGCAGCTTCTGGCGTTTGGCTAAGAATAATCAACAACTTATGAAATTGCTCCTAAAGAATAGCTACCAAGAAGGCGATGTGCAAACGTCTATAGCCTTGAACCTGATTAGTAACCACACTTTTCAACATTTGAGACAATAAGTATGATACATAATTCACAAGGATGGATACCTTTCTGTATTACATATTAGTGCAGTTCTTGTGCCTCTGACCACCTGTAAATTATTAAGTATTGTTTCACAGGGTTGGTTGATCTTTTGTAACTGAACTACATTCGAGATAGGGTGTTCTTTTTGGTGCTTTTCCTTATTACTGTTCTTTTCCAAATTGCAGCGAAACTGGTCGCAGTGGGCTATGGTATCAAGAAGCTACAGATTCAGTGTGTAGTTGAAGATGACAAGGTAAGGAAGGTGTTTATGGTCACTTAATACTTGGAACAAGTTTAGAAGCCTTTCTAAAGCACAACTCAGAAGCTGTATTTTCTATAATGTAACTGGTATATTGCAGGTCAACTTCAGTCACCCCTTTCCCTCCTCAAGCCCCTGTAGTCTGGTTTTCACCCTGCCCGCAACACAGAGACAACGCTTGTCAAAGTCACAAACGACGTTCTCTCCTTCTTACCAGGGCTCCCTCTGCCTCCTTGTCCTCCTGGATCTTTCTGCTGCATTCGACACAGTCGACCACGCCATCCTCCTCCACCGACTCTTCTTCCTCCTCTATCTTAGTAGGACCACACTTACATTGTTCGAGTTCTACTTAACCAACCGCTTCTACTTCATCTCGGCAAATGGTTTCTCCTCCTGCCCCTGTCCGGTCACCTGCAAGGGTACCCCAGGGCTCCTTCCTTGGCCCTCTTTTCCTCATTTATATATGAGCTCTTGGTGATATCATCCACAGACACCGGGTAAACTTCAACATGTATGCAGATGACACATAAATCTACTTTGCCTCCTCCAGTATCGACTCCAGGTTCGCTGATGTTCTGTCAGCTTGTCTGGCAGACATCAGGGCCTGGATGAGTGCAAACTTCCTGCAGCTGAATGTGGCTTGGCTGTATCAATGTGGCATATTCCTTGGCTCCCGTCAACAGCTTCACTCCTGTGGATCTGAACTCAACCTCCCTGGGCTCTCCCTCAAACTAGTCGTCCGGTTCAACCCCCAGGTGTCTTTCCTTCTCTACGTCTGGTCCCTGACTAGGACCATCTTCTTCCACCTCCGCCACATTGCCCGCCTCCGACCTTACCTTATCCCAAATGCAGCCGAAACCTTTGTGGATGCGTTTGTCACCTCCAGTCTGGATTGCTCAAACACACTTCTCGCCGCTCTCCCCACTGGCTCCACATCACCGAACAGATTGACTTCAAGATGCTCACACTCATGTTCAAATAATAATAATAATAATCCTTGCATTTGATATAGCGCTTTTCACGTCGGGAGGACGTCCCAAAGCACTTCACAGAATACACTGTAAAGTGAATTGACTGTATATTTGTGGGCGAACGCGGCAGCCAATTGCGCACAGCAATGTCCCACAAACAGTCGTAGATTGAAAATGACCAATTTATTATTGTTTTGTTTTTTTTGGAGGGATTATTATTAGGCTCTGTGTGGAGTAAGGAAACTTGCCCAAGGTTTCGCCCTCTGCCTGGAATTGAACTCAGGTCTCTCGCTTGCAAAGCGAGCGCTCTAACCACTGAGCTACAGGACTCCACGAATCCCATCAAATCCCATCACTCCCTGGCACCTCCCTACCTTTGCGATCTTCTCATTGCCCAACCCACCACCTGGCGCCTAGGCTCGACTGGCACTGGCTTCCTGCTTGTCCCTTGCATCCTCCGTTCCACCATTGGAGGTCACGCATTCAGCCACTACGCTCCAAAACTCTGGAACCTCTCCCTCAATCTCTCCGCTTTGCCCCTTCTCTCCCCTTTTTCAAGCCCCGCCTGAAAACCTTCCTTTTCGACTGTGCTTACAGTCACCACCCCCACCACAACCTGGTTCGGAGTCAGGCTCCGCCACTGTTAAGGGCTCTGAGACGCTACCCTGAGTGGAGGGTGCTATGTACGTTCAAATTGTTGTGTGTACTCGGTCTTTAAATTGCTCCCCACTTGGGAGAGACTGGAAGTCTTATCTTGTATCATAATTCAAGTCTGGATACAGGTTTGTAACAGTGACATTTGTATTCCACAGGCTTGATATGATTATTACTCACTCACAATAAACAACAACAAATCACATTTGTATAGCGCCTTTCACATTGGGAGGGCGTCCCAATGCTTTGGGAATGATCCTTTACTGAAATCCCAGGAACACTATTAACTTTGTGGAAGGTTCTAGTCAATCTTTGATAGTGTTTATCTTTTGTTTTGTTTATATTGATGTATTGAATTTGCATACTGGGTTCAATTCCAGTCAGGGCGAAACTTTGGGTAAGTTTCCTTACTCCACACTCCTAATAATAATCCCTCCAAAAAACAAAACGATAATAAATTGGTCATTTTCAATCCACGACTGTTTGTGGGACACTGCTGTGCGCAATTGGCTGCCGTATTTCACCCACAAATATACAGTCAATTCACTTCACAGCATATTCTGTGACGAGCTTTGAGACGTCTAGAAGACATGAAAAGCGCTATATCAAATGCAAGGATTATTATTATGCTCTGGGCTGACACTCCATGGCAGTGCTGAGGGGGTGTACTGCATTGTTGGAGTGCTGTCCTTCAAATGAGATGTTAGGCCGTGGTCCTGTAGGCCTGTTTACTAAAACACTATTGACACTACTCAGAGAAGGGAGTTTCTCCCATTTCCTAGCCAACAATTCCCCAGGTAAAATTGTCGCCCACTTGTGGCTGTTTGTCAGACATTGCTGTGTGCAGATTGGATGCAGATCGGCTGCTGGGTTCACCTACTTATAGTCACTACTGTTCACAGTAAAATCCTGTGAAGAATTCGGGATATCGTCCCAATGTGACAGATGCTGTATCAAATGCAGTGATTATATTTTTTATTGCATTTTTTTCAGGTGGGAACAGATCATTTAGAAGAAGCTATCACTGCATTTGAAGATTTGGTGCAATCTGTTGACGTTGCAGCCTTCAACAAGGTTTAACGTAACAACTAACAGTTAATAAACACTGGCATGTGCAGAAATTGACCTGGTCTTTGTCTTATTGACATGCGTTTTGTGCATCAAACTCTGGATAAGCACGAAGGTTGGTTAGGAAAGAAGGAAATTGTATATTGCAATCTTCACTGAAAGCTGCCCTCTTGAGGAAAGCTGCCCTCTTGAGGAAGGTCTAGTAGGTTTTTTTCCCTGAATTTGACTTGGATATACTGTATTGAGATGGTGGGGATGATGAGTCTCTCAGCTCCTATTCAAGATCTTATGATTTCTGGTTAATTGTGTCTTAAGGATAATGTGAGTAGACCCAATTGTGGTTAAATGTGCCTGTTTTGCTAAAGAAGGGGTTAGTTATAACTTGGCATCATGTTGTATTGAGCTGTTCTGTGCACTGGCAATGAATGTGTACTGAGTTGACAGTGTTTTATGATCATGCAAATCCAGCATCTTTTCTGTTTTCGGTTATCTTAAATTTTTTGCTGTGGAAACATACAGTCAAAGTCGTCTTTCATAAGGTTGACTGTCCTTTACTTAATACAAATTAAACTGATTTGGGATTTTTAAATTTGTTTTTGTAATCTGTGATTGTCCATTGGTGAAGCACGGCAACATGAGCCAAGCTATCTCTGGTCTTAAGATTTAAAGGCCAGATCTGGAATGCCTTGAATGCTACAAAATGAATATTAGTGAACTATTGTAAGGAACCAAGTTTTTTTCAACAAATGGCTGGCTTCAAACTAGCAAATAATGGCAGGATTTCCTTAAAAGCAAAGGCTCTACGTAATGTCAATGTGGGCACTCAGAATTTGGAACTAGTTCAGCTTTCCTATGATGCATCGAGTCTGAGAAGCGTTTCTGCTCCAGATTGCTTTCACAGCATTCTGTTACCCAAATTACTTTGTTCAAGTATGAACGAATCAGCTTCTATTTCATCTGTATAGAACTGGGTTTATAGATGGCATTGCCTGCCAGTTTGCTTGGATCGTTCCAATTGTGATAAAATTATATTAATCGAACATCTCTCCTGGATTTTTTTTATTTTAGCCTATTAAAGGGTAGACAGCAACTGGTAACTTGGAACTGCTCAATTGGATAATGTTGCCCAATATGGTTACCCTTGTCAAGGCAGTAATTGCATTGCAGCTGGGATGGGGGTCAAGGAGGGCAAGCTGCTGGGAATGAGCGTGCTTGCAATGTATTCTGAAGAAGCAAAGACTTGGTGCAAAAAGGCAACTAAATTAAAATGACTAGAGAAGCCTGGTGTGGAACCAGACAATTTAGTGTGAGTTTGCAGTCAAATTGAATTTCGATCAAAACACTGGGAAAGTTTTGTGTTTCTTGTAACGTGTTGCATTAGCTTTTTTATTTAAAAACAAACTTGCCTGTACTGGTAACAATATTGATTATCAGGATCAAAATCCTCATGGGTGAATGTGCCCATCACTTTGTAGCATTGAATGTAGCATGTAATGCAACTTGTTGCATTACGAATGTCAGTATTAAACCAGTTTGTGTTCCCAGAATCATTCCCTTGGTCGGACAGGCGTGCTTATTGAAATGAGTTCTAAGAGCTATATTTTTGCACCTTGTTCTGTGTATCGTTTTACTTCCCTCTACCAGGTATGCAGTGATGTGTATGCTGCCTTCTGCAACAAGCAAAGCTAACCCGTGCCAAAATACTTGTCATCACTTGAGTTAAGATGTATAACTTCGAAAAAGCATCAACTTGAGCAAACATTAACAGTAACGTTTGGATTGCTGAATTGCCTAGAAACAACACTTTCTGAATTAATATTTGGAGGAGGATCCCTGTGAACTGTTATAACATAATCACTCGTTTAGAAACTCCCCGGGGCTATGGGGAGAATACATTGCGAAACCTGACCACAAAGCCACACCAGTGCATTCTTGCATCCTCTGCTTCCACCTGGGTTTACCCACTAAGCGTGGCTCAAAAGCACAAGGCGTGGTGATGAATTAACTTGGAGCACGTTGGGGTTAAGATGGAACATTCAGTGTAAATGTCATCGTTAATTGCAGTGCTCAGGGTTTACATTACAGAAAACCATTTAGCTTTCAAAATGCTAACAATGCTAAATGATTCAATTGTCCAGTGTGGAGACTAAAATAGTTGTAGTGTTGAATATGCCTCATTGCTGGTCTTTAACGCATTGTTTGGGGGGAATGTGTGAATTCTATCTATCCCTCGTGTTGGTGGCATGTAGTACTCGAGTCTGGTTCGAACACGCTTAAACGGAGTGATAGGTTTCTTCGTGTTCAACGCCCAGCTGACTTAAAAAAAAACATGGATTGCCCGCTATTTCATGCCGGAGACCCTTATGCAACGGTTCAATTAATAGATGCACAATTTCAATCCTCGCCACCGAAGAGCCGAATCAATTAATGTATTTCGGTATCGAGTCGTGAAATAACTTAAGTAATGAATTGGGAAAAGATCCCCCTTTTTGAGTCCCACTACGTGCTCCCAAATTCTCGCTGGTGCCAGTTGAGCCTTCTTTGCTGTCGCTGCGGTTTTCAGTGGGAAAAAATACCGCAACGCTATGTTTGAAAGTGAGCGCCTGTGCGTTTGGGGGTGTGTTCACCATTGGTGCGCGCCGCACCCTTCCCTTTAATTGGAGGCGCGGCTGTCGCCTTCGCCCCTCCCGCCCGCCGCGCGGCTCCTTTAAGGCAGCACTTTTACGTCGGCGGTCAGTAAATTAGCTGTGTGCCCCTTTAAAAACATGGCCAGGAAGTAATGATGGGACGGAGTTGAACTCTGACCGTGAGGGTGGAAGCAGATCCGCGGCTCCCGGGAAAGACGGTGAGGACGGGTTTTATTTTGAAACAAGTGAGGAGGGGGTGAGGGGGGAGTGGGGCCGCGCCCGCGCCTTTAAATAGCCTCTGACAAATGTTGCCCCAAGTCAGAGCCGCGCGGCACTGACACACAGAGCGCCACCGCCACCGCCACCGCCACCGGGGGATCGGTGATCACCACGAGCTGCCGGGGGGCGGGGGGGGGGCACTCGGTCAGTGTGTGACAGGCGATCACACTTTTGTTCCGCTTTGTACCCATTGCTGGTTGTTGATCGGGTCCCGGAGCTGAGCTGCTGCTGCTCTCTTTTTTTTATTATTTGGCCGATCTTTTTTCCTCCTGTCCCGTCTGCTGTCGGCGGACCCACCGCGCGCCCCCGCACCGCGCGCCCCCGCACCGCCGCCGCCGCCACCGCACCGCGCGCCCCCGCACCGCCGCCGCCGCCGCCGCCGCCGGGAGTTGGTTTGGGAGTGGATTTTCTTTCGGTTTCAAACGCTGCGATCGGGTCGGCGGGAGCGCCACTGGGGACTGTGCGCCGGTTTTACACACTCACACCCACATATCTGCCCGAGTGTGTGAGTGAGTGACTGTGTGTGAGTGAGTGACTGTGTGTGAGTGAGTGACTGTGTGTGTGAGTGTGTGAGTGACTGTGTGTGAGTGAGTGACTGTGTGTGAGTGAGTGACTGTGTGTGAGTGAGTGACTGTGTGTGTGAGTGAGTGACTGTGTGTGTGAGTGAGTGACTGTGTGTGTGAGTGAGTGACTGTGTGTGTGAGTGAGTGACTGTGTGTGTGAGTGAGTGACTGTGTGTGTGTGTGAGTGAGTGACTGTGTGTGTGTGTGAGTGAGTGACTGTGTGTGTGTGTGAGTGAGTGACTGTGTGTGTGTGTGAGTGAGTGACTGTGTGTGTGTGTGAGTGAGTGACTGTGTGTGTGTGAGTGAGTGACTGTGTGTGTGTGAGTGAGTGACTGTGTGTGTGTGAGTGAGTGACTGTGTGTGTGTGAGTGGAGTGACTGTGTGTGTGAGTGAGTGACTGTGTGTGTGAGTGGAGTGACTGTGTGTGTGAGTGTAGTGACTGTGTGTGTGTGTGAGTGAGTGACTGTGTGTGTGTGTGAGTGAGTGACTGTGTGTGTGTGTGAGTGAGTGACTGTGTGTGTGTGTGAGTGAGTGACTGTGTGTGTGTGTGAGTGAGTGACTGTGTGTGTGAGTGACTGTGTGTGTGTGAGTGAGTGACTGTGTGTGTGAGTGACTGTGTGTGTGTGTGAGTGAGTGACTGTGTGTGTGAGTGAGTGAGTGACTGTGTGTGTGAGTGAGTGAGTGACTGTGTGTGTGTGAGTGAGTGAGTGTGTGTGTGAGTGAGTGAGTGAATGTGTGTGTGTGTGAGTGAGTAACTGTGTGAGTGAGTGAGTGACTGTGTGCGTGTGAGTGAGTGAGTTTGTGTGTGTATGAGTGAATACATGTGTGTGAGAGTGAGTGACTCTGTGTGTGTGAGTGAGTGACTGTGTGTGTGTGAGTGAGTGACTGTGTGTGTGTGAGTGAGTGACTGTGTGTGTGTGAGTGAGTGACTGTGTGTGTGTGAGTGAGTGACTGTGTGTGTGTGAGTGAGTGACTGTGTGTGTGTGAGTGAGTGACTGTGTGTGTGTGAGTGAGTGACTGTGTGTGTGTGAGTGAGTGACTGTGTGTGAGTGACTGTGTGAGTGAGTGAGTGTGAGCAGCTGACCAGCCCAGAGCCTCTCTGGGAGCGATCGGCTTCTCTGCCGTTCACAACCCGCAACTTTTTTTTTAAAAAAACCAACCCTATCATTTAGTGCGGAAATCAATCCCAGACAAGTAACTCAGAGCCTTTCCTCACTTCAGCACAACCGTAATACATCGCAGAGTCGGTGTCAGTTTTCTGCTGTGGGTACGGAGACGGGTTGAGTGGAGGCGGGTCTGGTCGGCATTGTTTTTTTATTATATATATATAAATTTTAAAAAAATAAACTCATCCCCACTTTGAAGTAATGGTTTTAAAGCTTCTTCACTCCCATTTTCACTCTCACGCCCCTCAGGCAGCGGTGAGCCAAACGCTTTGCTACAGGTTCCGCAGATGGTGAGCCTTAAAAAATAGAGTGTAGAAGCTCTTCAGGTTGTAGAGGTTTATATATATATATATATATGATATATATACATATGCACAGTTGCCCTCCAACCCACCTGGTGCTGTTTCCCGTAGTGTAAGCCATACACTTGCAAAGAGTTGCAAGTTGTCCCCCCGTCTGCAACACTGTGCAACTGCTCCTTGTGGTCTGTTTCTGCAGTTCCCACTGTGACAGAGACCGCGTGGAGCAGCGGCTCAGCAGCAGAGCGGCACTGTCCCGGTAACTCCCGTTGGCGTAACTTTTCGTTGCAAGAGAAGTGGCTATTCGAAGCTCAGCCCCACACAGCGCTTGAACCCGGAACTTTCCATTCCATTGGGTAATTCTTAAATAATAATAATCCTCGCATTTGATGCAGCGCTTTTCACGTCGGGGAGGACGTCCCAAAGCGCTTCGCAGAACACACTGTGAAGTGAATTGACTGTATATTGGTGGGCGAACGCGGCAGCCAATTGCGCACAGCGATGTCCCACAAACAGTCGTGGATTGAAAATGACCAATTTATTATTGTTTTTGGTTTTGGAGGGATTATTATTAGGCTCTGTGTGGAGTAAGGAAACCTGCCCAAGGTTTCGCCGTGACCTGCTGGGAATTGAACTCGGGTCTCTCGCTTGCAAAGCGAGTGCTCTAACCTCTGAGCTACAGGACTCCACAAAGAAGGGTTTGGTCACAGAACACTGCAAAGGGTGAGATCAGAGGCCGAGGGGGGAAGGGGGGGGAGGTGGCTGCACTTTCAGTTGCTGTACCCCCAAAACTCTGGAAATCTCTCCCTCTACTTCAATCTCACTCCCATCTGTCTTGAAGTCCCACCTTAAAACCTACCTCCAACCATATCCATGGCCACCTCCAGCTCTTCTCTTCTTACCCACCCCCCACTCCTCCTCCGGTTTGAAGTCGGACTCCCAACTTTATAAAGCGCTTCCTCCCAAGAACTTACCCAACATGAAGGACTCGTATATAAATGTGGAGCCCGATAGCATAGTGGTTAGCGCGCTCCCCTCGCAAGCTAGAGGACCTGGGTTTGATTCCCAGGCGGAGTGAGACCTTAGGGAAGTTTCCTTACTCCACACTTCTCTGTTTAACTTGCAGTAAGTAGGAACCTGGTTGTTAGTCGATTGGCAGATAGCTTTCCGAGGGTAATAATGCCTCCCATTTTTTTTTAACAATCCATGACTGTTTGTGGGTCACTGCTTTGTGCAATTGGATGCCACATTTTGCCCACAAAATAAAGTCAATTCACTTAAGAATATATTCTGTGAAACGCTTTGAGACGTCTCATCGAAATAAGGCGCTATATCAAATGCAAGGATTATTATTATCAATGTTGCTTGTGTTAAATATTTGAAGAGATGCAATATAAAAAGATAAAAGAGCAAGCAATTGAGATTTGAGATTAGCTCTAGTGGAGGAGCTAGTTCCAGCATGAAAGACTCGTGAAGAACAGCCTCCTTCTGTGCTGCAATTTCTGTAGTTCTTGCCAGCCACCTGTGTCCTGGTTTAGAAGGTAGAATTTAAATATGCACATATGTTGAGTATTCTGTTACAATAAGAGTAATATTTAACACCCTAACAAAATCCAGCAACTATATCAATTACGTGTTCGAGGGAAGGTGGAGATTACCATGAGCACGGTCGAAGAAGTTGGTTTTAAGGCTGGACTTGAAGATAAGAGAGGGTTTTTGGGAGGGAGTTCCAGAGGTGAGGGGTGAAGAATTGGCCACTGGTAGTGGCGCCAGTAGGGTGAGGGATGGGCAGGAAGCCCAAATTGAGTGCTCATTGTCAAGCATGCTATGTAAATTCAAGTTGTTGTTAACTACTGTAACACACTGCATGAAAGATTTTAGAGAATACATCCAAGACCCCATGAGTGCAGGGCTATCATATGAGAAAAATGAGTTTTTAATTATAATGATCGTCTAATTATAACCTGTGTATCTTGTTTATACCAGGCTCAAAGAGAATCTGTTAAAGAGCGGGTAGATAAAGTTGATTTTAGGGAAATGGATATACATAAGATGGATTTAATGGTGCACTATATTCCCGTGTGGTTTGATTGCTGTGTAACTGGAGGCAGTAGATGCTAATTAGTCTATTTTGTGGTGTGGTTTGTATTGTAAACATTCTTTCCTGCTGGTTGTGTAGTGGATGCCAATCAGAATGGGTGCTCCCAGCAGCATTGGCCAACCCCAAGTGAAGGGGGTCAGTGATGGCTTTCACCTGCCCGTACCACTGGATTTGGGATGTCATTCGTTCCACGTGGGATGGCGTTAAGTTTCGGAACCCTGATGTAGTACACGTGGTGTTGCCACATCGACCAGGTGCACTCCATACCACAGCATCACAGTGATGACAGTGCACACCACACAATCACCACAAACAACCCACGACATACACCTCAATACATTTTGCTCTTGCACACATGGTTGCTTGTAACACTAACATGGTCTCTGCCCATTGTTACCCAGGTGGGGTTAGAATGGCTGCAGTGTGAACATACTCACTGCCCATTATTACCCAGGATGAGGTAAGAATGGTCGCAGTGCTGACGTTCTCTGCAGACAAAATCTCAAAAGAAATTCTGTTCCAGTCACTGGGGGCATCAAGCCCATACAATGAAAATGACATCATGTGGGGTTTGAATAACCGCTGGGTTATCTAACCCATTATGAGTACATCCAAAAGTGAGGCTGACCAGACGATTTACTTGTGAAAAAGTTAAGATGCTGGGTTCCAAGCCATGATCACTGGATTGCCTTGCACAACGATCAGTTAAGCAGGTTAGCATTTGGGCTGCTGAACAGTTCTGATCAGCTGGGATTTAGTTTTCCTTTGGCAGAATCCAGGCTCACATTACAGAGACCTGGTTCCTGGATTTATGTCAGTCGGGTGAGAGGACAGGATTGGGCTCATCTATGATGTGCACATGGCTCAATGGTCTGTTATCACACTTTTGAATAATCAAAAAGGCCAACTCTATGGGATAACCAATGGCTTGAAGCGCTTGTGGAGGCTATACTTCAACACGAGCCTCTATCTTCAGGAGAGGAAGGAGAAGGCGGAGAAGCTAGAGAATATAAAATAATAGACTTACACCTATGTATCAAGTGACAGAACGTGGTTGTTTTGATCGCCTTGTTAATCGCCATAGGTGGTGGTGTGAAGTTGGTCTGTAATATGGGAAATGGTGACCTCCCCCACCCCCATCCTCTATTGAATTATTGAATGAGTTGAATAGATCCCTCGCCTCCTCATGCAGCCGGGCGTCTCATGCACCCACCCCCATGAGGAGTGTCTTAAGGGAAGAGGGAACTGAGCTGCCCCAACAGGATCTGAGCCTCCCTCCCCCCCCCTTGTGGGGTTGCATCATGTTTTTGAATGCAATTTCCCAGCGTAGGGAGGATGGATATTTTCCAATTACTAAGAGCATCTTGGATTAACTCCTTTGGGGAGGTGCTTTGGAAAGTTTTCTGACAGCAGATGAGCCTTACTGCTATGTCTCTTCTATGTCCCAGGGTGCTGTTTGCATCACTGAATACATCAGGCCACCTTCGTAACTGCTGATAATTTTACAAAGGGTTATTTTTACAGAAAGCAAAAAATAGCCTGAGCTTTGAAATGAACTCACTTGAGACAAAAAAGACATTTGACAAGAAACCTATTCCAGCCCAGCATATCAGTGTTAACCACTGATCTTAATCGCTTTTTAGCATCTTCATAGAAAGGTAGTGAAGGGAGTGCGAATCAATGTGTGCTGGCAATCTGATTCTAGAGGTGTAACTTGTGTGGGAGAACAGTGAAATGTGTTTCTTTTTCCAGGAGTCTGGAGTATTCGTTTAGCTTCCCAGCGCAGGACGCCCATGACTCTACTCGGCACGTTAATGAGCATCAGCCTGACTCCAAGCTCAACTCTGCAGACCTGCGTTATCACGGCCCAAGTTCACTCGCAACCCATCAACCTTCCTGCAGATTCCAGGCGAGTCTGCACATAACCATTGAGCACCAGGTGAGTTTGACTCCACATCATTCAAGCAGGGGCTGAAACATGAAATGTGATCCCAGGCGTGCACAGGAGAAAAACAACCTTAAATTCTCTATATTGAACCTTCTCTCTCTCTCCCTCCATCAGTACGTGCCTGACTTCACTCCATTGTTCCTCATCACCTCTGCAGATGCAGCAATGGAAACTTGCTGTAAAGAGAACAGCGGGTACAATATTTGCAGTTTATACATTCTCAGCCTGGCTCAGTTGGTAGCACTCTCTCCTGAGTCAGCAGGATGTGGGTTCAAGCCCCATGTCTGGACTTCTGAGTTTTTAGTCTAAGATGACAGGGCTGGGGGAGGTTTGACCAACTGAGTGGGATGGGCTCTTGCTAACCAGATACTGAGGAGGGAGTCCTGACTGAAGTGCAATCCTGTAATTAACTTTTTTTTAGAAAAAAAAGGTTTTGGAAGGAATTTAATTGTAACACCATACTTTTGTGTGTGGGAGGGGATTCATGAAGTCGTGAAACTGATCTGAGATGAGCTCTTAATATACCAACTAATATTTATACAGTACCTTTCACATCCGGAGGGCATCCCAAAGAGCATTCACGGCTCCAAGCTGATATGGGAGCCGGGGTGGGGAAAGATAACTGAAAATATGGTTGAAGAGTTGCGTTTTGAGACATGCCTTGAAAGGGAGCGTGTTTGTGTATAACTCTGGTTTGATTTGTGCCACAGACTGAAAGGAGACTGACTGAATCCTGTGTAATAATGGAGGATGATGGGTAAGTTGCACAAGTCAATGGCATGGGGGGGGGGGCATTTCCGTTGAGGGAAACACCCTGCTTACCTAATTCCAGAGTATTAGGTGCAAGTTGGCCAGAACCAAGGAGACTGAGAGTGTGCAATGGGGTAACTGCTGGAATTTAACCGGATAAAACTCAATAGTTCGCCATTGAAATCACTGTATGTAGCGCTTTCCTGCTGCTGGTCCAGCTAGGACCACAGGGTTTTGGCTTGCACGACTAACTATAACTGAACATACATGCCTCCAGTGATCCGCCCTTCCAAGTCCTGCTGATGAGGCTGGCCGTGCTGTCATCAGCAGTGCCCTGGAGTACTGCAGACCCACCTGGCTCAGGAATCGGACTTCAGAGGGTTGACTTGATTCCGACATTCTGTTGCCAAACTTGTCACCTTGGAACCAATTCAGCTCTAAGGAGACCCCGCTTACCTCCCCCAAGAAGGATCAGTTGTAGGAATTCTTATTGACAGTAAGAAACTGGCAGCAATATAATGGTACAGATGTGGGGTTGGATGAACATCCTGAACCACATCCTCCGGGAAAGTCACAGCTTCAAACCCTGGCTGATGCTGAGGCCTCGATGGTCCTGCACTGATGTACTGCAATTGGCCTGAGTGTCCCCTGAAAAATAGAACAGCGTTATCGCTCCTGATCATACCCAATGACCACTACACACGTTGGGTGAGTTCAGCAGCAGGTCCAGCACCCAAGAAGTGTATGGGTTGGAAGGGAGGGGTTGGGGGCATGGAAAAAGAGATATACAAGTAGGACTGTGCATTAGATCTTGTGGCTTGTTTTGTTAAAATAGTTCCGTATTTGGTTTTGCAGTGTTGATGCACATTCTACGAGGTCACCCGTCCCGGAGAACACCATGGTGCAAAGCAGACAGGGTTACTGTGCCTGCTGCCAGGTGCTCTATACTAATCTGGAACAGGTAAGAGCTGCTGTGTGTTGCCCCAGGCATATTTCATTGGTGCTTTTAGTGGACAGGTTTATAATTGGTCCTTTTTAGTTTGTCGGGGAGTCAGGGGTGGAAATGGGGCAGATGCCAACTGTGAACGCATGTGGTTTACCGTTATTATCCTGGATTACCATTATGCCGAGGTACATTTTTTTAAAGCCAGAAGGTTGTGGGTCCGATTCCCACATCAGGCCTTTGAGCTCACATTCCAGGCTGACCCTCGAGTGCAGTCCCGGGGAAGCGTGATATTGTTGGATGAATGTTAAAATCATTGCCCTTGTTCAGGTGGAAGTTAAAGATCCCGTGGCAGTGTAATCCGTGACTGTTTACCTAATTCCAGGTAATTACTATCAGTAAGTAGAAACTTGGTTGTTCGTCGATTAGAGGATCAGTTTCTGGGGATAATAATCCCTTAAAAAACAATTTGGTCACTCAATCCACGACCATGCGCAATTGGTTGTCGTGTTTTGCCCACAAAATATAAGTCAATTCACTTTACAGCATATTATGTAAAGGGCTTTGAGACACCCTCGCTCCATGAAAGGCATTATATCAAATGCAAAGATTATTATTGTGAGAAGGGGTGCCAACATTAAATTGGTCATTTATTTCATGGCTGTTTGTGGGACTTTGCTTTGTCAACTTGACAGCAGTTACCTGTGAAATGCTTTACAATGTAAACTGTACACTAACACAGCACCTTTCACATCAGGAGGATGTCCCAAAATGCTTGACAATTCAGCCTGAGTACCGGAGCTGAGGGTGGGACCTGAGTAGGGGAAAGGGGATCGAAAGCACAGTCGAAGAGGTACATTTTGAGATGTACCTTGAAAAACGGGAGGGAGGAAGTCAGAGGAACCTGAGAATGAAAAGATCAGCCAAGTAGCTGAAAGCCCGTCTGCCAATGATGCGGGCAGATAGAGCAGGATGTTACAACAAGTTACATTTGTATAGTGCCTTTCACGTCGGGAGGATTTCCCAGTAGACGTGTTGTAGGCTGGTGTCGGCTGAGCGAAGGGAACAATCAGCCCGGTCAGGGGTGCTTTGAGATGTTCTGATGTTACAGGTAGAGATGTAAGACCTCTATCAAATGCAGTGATTGTTATTAGTTTTATTTACTGAAGTTTCGAAACGGGTTTGAATGTTAGTGGGATTTGAGTTTCGCCACTTTTTCCTGACTCTTGCATTTTATCTCGGTGCAGCACCTCCAGACCAACAGGCACAAGCAGTTTTCCAGCGAGTCCAGACGTCCGGTCATGGCTAAAAGCCTATTGGAGCGCTTCCTGCAGGATGTCATACAGTACCATCCCTCCAGATATAATGACACTAGGTAAAGACACAGCGTTAGCCCCAAAAGGAACTCTTCCCCATCACACAGCTTCACACTGTGTGACTAGTGTAAGACTTCCCCCCTACCTGCCGTGTGACTAGTGCAAACCTTCACACTTTGTACCTAAAGAGAGGAACAGGGCTTTCAGTGATCATCACTATCTTGGTTGATCTTTCTTTCCACATGCACATTGATGGTTCTTTTACTCTCTCAGGTCGACCTATGTAGACCTGCCATTGGTTTGTGCCCCGCTCGTTCCCAAAAACGACCTCGCAGATGTGCACTTGTATCAAGAGGACCAGGAGATTGTGGGGACCAGGGAGGAATTGCCCAGCACAGATGTGTCAATCCCATTGACACCCACCCAGGTCAGGAACACCCCTGCAAGTTGTACCCAGGTCAAAGAGTGCACCATAACTTCACCAGACATCAGAGAAACTGTGGCAGAACAAACCACTTTTCTAAACCCTACCTACGCAAGTGGTAACTTTGGGCCTTGCAAATCAGTGGCCAGGAAGGAAAACCCTACGACTTTCACAGTGTGTAAAAGGCCACCATTGAGAGGACAAAAGGAGGGTGAGATACCCATTGTCCTGAGCCTTCCCTCCCACTGTAAACCAAACTGCACCCCAAGGAGTTCCACATCTGCTCAAGCCAGCTTTCCTCAGGTCACCTCAGATCATTCTTTTAGGGTTTCCAAGTACCACAAGGTTAATACTCAGGGAAGGATAGTGGCATCTCTTTCTCAACTCAGGGAGTCCCTAGCGACCAGCAGCCGGCTCTGCACTTTGGGCCTGGGCCAGGCCAATGGAAGCGGGCTGCACAGCAGGAGCACTGGCTGCCCAGTAGAATCGGACAAGTTAAGGACACTGGAAAGGGGGGAGGACATGATCCTGGAGACCATCGAGCGGGTCATCCGCAACTACTGCGACCAACCCCAGCCGCAGGTGGGCGAGGGCGATCGGTCGGTGGGTGCGATGAAAGAAAGGGCCACGTCGTCCCAACTCGAGGGACAAAGGCAAACGGCGGCAAGAGGCTTGGAGAGTAGCCCACCAGACAGCAACAAGCTTCCTGAAGTTGATTGCATTTATAAGCTGAGTGACAAACTTCGTACATTCGAGGGGAGCCCCGTAAAGGTTTCCAAAAGACCTAGCATAAAGAAGAAGCTCTCGCCAAGCTTCCTGCAGGAAAATAATCCTGCAGGGCCGCATGAGGACACCGGGCAAGACGTGGAGAGCTTTGGCTCCATCGGCAGTCAGTTGGGGCGGCTGAAGTCCAGCAGCAGCTCGGATTGGGACGCTCCACTGAAGTTGGAGAAAGTGCGCTCCAAAATAGCAGCCAAGGATTTGGAAGCGCTGACAGACACTCGCGTCACCTTAGAAGACGACAGTTACAAAACACGGCTCAGCTCGGTGCTGCATTTCCCCCCGGCCGTCAATGGGCACACAGAGGAGGCCAATGTGGCTGATTCGGAGACCTTGGCGAAACGGGAGGCAAGCGAGGAAACGGGCAAGCTGCCCTACATCCCTAAGTCCTTTGCCGGCAAGACGTGGTCGGAGATCATGGCGGAAGACGACCTGAAGGTGGATGCTCTGGTAAAGGAGTTCCGGGAGGGGCGCTACCTGTGCTACTTTGACAGCGAGTCTTTGACCAACCACGGGAAGAAGCAAAGGAAGAAGAGACGATCCGACACCAAGGACGCTTCCAAGACGACCTCCAAGCTCACGGCCGCGAGCAGCCAGGACGTACCTATGCTCGCTGGCCTGCCGCCCCTGCCCGATGCCAGCGAGGACACGGACGACGGGTGCTGCCTGCCCGCCGTCGGTCCCCAGCACCGACCGGCCACCCCAGGCCAGAGTCCCGAGCTGCGCTCCTTCCGCCTGGCCTCCAGGTGCCAGGTGGTCAAAGTCAGTCACGGTACTCAGACCAGCGAGCTCCGGTACCCGGCGCTCAAGAGGAAGTCCAGACGGGACGAGGCGGCGGCGGCGGCGGAGGAGGGGACGGCGGTGGCACAGTCCGCTCCGCGAGAAGGTGAGGAGATGTCCGAGGTGAAGACCAGGCTGTGCTCCTTGCGTTTGCCAGACTCCTACAGCAAGATCCTGAGCCCTGTGCAGCCCAGGACCATCATCTACGTGCTCTCCTCCCCTGACCTGTCCCCGGGGGCGGGGGAGCTGTCTGCCGACCCCCACCCCCACCCCCCGCCGCCCGGGGTCGGGAGCGGCCGGAAGACCCCCAAAGCGTTGGAGGACACCAGGTACACGTACAAGAAGTCGCCGGTCAAGTACTACGACCCGACGACCAACCGGATCGTGAAGTCGCCGCCGCGGGGCCTTCTCTTGGCCAAAATCTGCCGCTCGCCTCACCACGTGCGCAAACTCTTCCGCAGCCTCAGCCCCGACATCAACGTGGAGAGGCCGCCGGGCGGCTCCCGGCCCGGGTCTCGGGAGAGAGGCGGCGGCGGAGGCGGCGGACAGTCTACCTGCAGCACCGTCCCCACCTCCACCTCCTCGGTAGCGGCCGTGTGGCCCGACATCGTGAGGATGAAGGAGCGAGTGCGCCGTGAAGCGGCGGCGGCGGCAGAGACGGGGAGCGGCGGCGAGGCCCCGGCGGGCCTGAGCCCGTCAGGCGAGGCCGAGGTGGAGGCCAAACCCAGGAGCCTGGTCTTGTCGCCCATCAGGAAGCGGGTGTCCGGGGCCCCGTCCGGCTCCGACCCCGTCCTCGGCCCCAGGAGCCGGGCGGCCACCGAGAAGGAGAACCCGCGGGCGCCCCGGGCCCGGCGGCGGCAGGGAGCCGGGGGTCTGCACAACCCGCGGGGGGCCTCGTCCCGCGGCGGCGGCGGCGGCTCCTCCTCGGGCGCCTCCTCCTCGCCGCCGGGGATGGTGGTGTGCGGTGGCGGAGGCGGGGACCAGGCCTCGCCCACCCCGGGCTCCAGCCCGGCCGAGGAGGAGGAGGAGGAGGAGAGGTCCTCGCGGGGGAAGGTGCTCCGGGCGGCCGTCATCTCGGCTGACAGAGCGAGTGAGACTGAGGGTGAGGGCGGCGGCGGCGGTCCGGCAGCGAGAGCGGCCTCGGGCAGGAAGGAGAACGCCGCCCAACAACAGCATCAGCGGCGGCGGAGAGGAAAACGCAACAGCGCGCGGAAGAGGAAGTGAGCGGCGGCGGCTCCCGGGGAGGGGGCGACCTGGGGGGAGGGGGCGGCCTGGGGGGGGGGGGGGGGACAGGACTGGAGGCTGAGCCGCCGCTTCCTGTGGGGTCTGCACCGTGTGCAGGGCCGCCGGGCTCCTCCTCCTCCTCCATCCCTCCCTCTCTCTCTCTCTCTCTCTCACCCCTCCATCCCTCCCTCCCTCTCTCTCACCCCTCCCTCCCTCCCTCCTTCCCTCTCTCTCACCCCTCCATCCCTCCCTCCCTCTCTCACCCCTCTCTCCCTCCCTCCCTCTCTCTCACCCCCTCCTCTCTCCCTCCCTCCTCTCTCTCACCCTTCCCTCCCTCCCTCTCTCTCACCCCTCCCTCCTTTCCTCTCTCTCACCCCTCCATCCCTCCCTCCCTCTCTCTCACCCTCTCCCTCTCCTTCTCTCCCCCTCCTCCTCCCTCCCTCTCTCTCACCCCTCTCTCCCTCCCTCCCTCTCTCTCACCCCTCTCTCCCTCCCTCCCTCTCTCTCACCCCTCTCTCCCTCCCTCTCTCTCACCCCTCTCTCTCTCCCTCCCTCCCTCTCTCCCTCCCTCCCTCCTTTCCTCTCTCTCACCCCTCCCTCCCTCCTTTCCTCTCTCTCACCCCTCCCTCCCTCCTTTCCTCTCTCTCACCCCTCTCTCCCTCCTTTCCTCTCTCTCACTCCTCTTTCCCTCCCTCCCTCATCTCCTTCCTCTTCTCTCTCCCTCCCTCTCCCCTCTCCTCCTGTCTCCTTCCATTCCTTCCTTCCCCCCTCCTTCCCTGGTGGGAAAGGGGACAATCTCCTGACTGCTTCCTATTTCTTACCCTCCCTCCCTCTTCTCTCCCTCTTTCCCTCCCTTTTCTTCCCCTCCCTCATCCCTCTTCTTTCCCTCCCTCCCTCCCTCCTCTCCCCCTGTTCCTAGCACTTTGTTTCAGGGATTTTGATGATTTTTTTTTTCCTTTTCCTTCTCTTCTTTTGGCAGCAGCAGTTTTAAAAGAAACCAAAAACAAAAGTGACGGACTATATTTTTTTATATATATTTAAAAAACAAGCGAGTTGTTTTTATTTTTCTTTCTGACCAAAAAAAAAGAAGAAATCTGTGGGGGTCGGGGTGGTGGGGGTTGGGAGGGTGAGGGTTGGGTTGGTGATGGGGATGCGGGGGTGGAGGGAGGGCTGTTTGGGTGGGCTGTCTCTTCAGGTGTTCAGGACCACAACGTTTATGTAGCGCCACATACTCATGATAGGCTCCCAGAGCCCTTAACAGTAGCAGAGTATGGTGCCGAGCCGGGGGGTGGGGGCGAGAGAGGCGCGACCTGAAAATGGGGAAGGATGGGGCAAGGTGGAGGGATTGAGAGAGAGTGTTCCAGAGTTTCTGTAAACCTCAGGTCTTTGGTTTAACATCTGATGAGAAGGATGGCACTTTCTTCAATACAGCGCACCCCTCAGCACTGCATTGGAGTCCCACCATGGAGCTCGACACCCATAAGCTTCTGGTTACGATGTCCTCCCGACGTGAAAGGCGCTATACAAATGTGATTTTGTTGTCGTTGATTCAAAGGCGAGAGTACTGCCAACTGAGCCAGGCTGCACCAAACCAGTGATTTGGTCAAAGATGCATGAGATGGTAACCCATTGGGTAGAACAGCTTCTTCACGAGGACACAAGGCTGCTTTTAAGCAAGATCAACAACAGAACGAACTCATATTTAGGCTTTACATTATTAAACATCACAGAGTGCTTCACAGAGATGGAGCTGACACGGGTGCTAGATTGTGGTTGGTGTGGGGTGGGTGGGGGGTAGGAGGGAGATGACTGAAGGTGCAGTCAGGTAGGTTTTTAGACCGAGATCCAAATATAATGTGGCGAAATGTAATCAATCTGCTGTGGTACAGCCGGTAACCCATATATATAGGTTATGCAAAAAGAGTGTAAGGGGGAGGCATATTTTCAAACCATAAATATGTATTTTATTTGTTAACTCAGCCTGGGCCAATAGAAAAGTGCAGCCGCAGTTTTTCCGTTCAATCCCCCATAAATAACACCCTCCACTAAAAACAAAGTTTCCTCTGCCCCGGGCCTCTGATCGTTGCTGCTGCTTCTCTGTGCGGGGCAGCTCTGGATGCGCAAGGCGATGCAAGCAGGAAATGGCTTTCGCTCTACTCCGGGTCCCTGCTGTTGCGATTGTCTGCATGTCTCTCTCTCCTGTGTGTGCGTGTCTCCTCTGTGTGATTAAGAGTGTGTCTGTCTCTATGTGTGAGTTTATCTATCTGTGTGTGTGTGTTTGAGTGATTTCTCTGTCTATATGAGTGTGCATGTGTCTCTGTGTCTATGATTGTGTATCTGAGTGTCTCTGAGAATGTGTGTCTCTCCGGTTCTCGGTGTCTGTATGCCATGTCGGCCCTGAAAGGCAGGAGGTGGGGAGCTCCTGTAGCACCACAGTCAGGACCCTGCCGAGCTCAATGAACAATGCTGTTTTTTTTGTGGATTTTCAGTCCCTTCGGGGCTGCGCTGCTAGTCCAATGGGCCACCCAGTTTTGAAAAAATGTAGGTGGGTAGTAAAATGTACCTCAATTGCACTAACCAGCCCTTGCAATTGTCCACAAAATTTGGCAAATTTTCCTGCAATTTTTGGCAAATATTTTCTATTGGCCCTTCGTGACTCATGAAGAAAGCCATTCGGCACATCGTGTCTGTGCTGGATGGATGTTGTGGATCGCTGGGACATGAGCCTCCTGCCTTTCCTCAGTAACCATTCAGAGGTCCATTACTCAGAGGAGCTGTAAATCAGACGGCTGGCACCTCCCATGCCAGAGGAAAAATGGAAAGATCTTGGAAAGAGTGAATACTGAACTTCAGACCCACAAAACATTTTATAGCAAAAAGATCAGGCTTGTAATTCCAGAAACCACAATATGTCCTGCTGGTCCGTGTCAGCTAGCAGTTTTAGTTTACCAAATTATTGCTGAACTGCTAAATTTGCTGAAAAAAGTAGCACAATCTGAAGACAAATTGCAATCATTTGCCTCCCAGTAGAGCAGTGATGGCCCTGGTACATTTGTGAATGTGTGAAGGGCCAAGGTGTCAGTTGTTACTACTGCTTTGTTTCACTGGGTGGCATTATTGCAACACCCAATCCACTTGTTTCTTGTAACTGAATGAATGCTGAAACCCACAGCACTTATTGTGTGTGTGTGTGTGTATATATATCAGTCTTGTAACTCCAGAAACCACAATATGTCCTGCTGGTCCACGTCAGCATATATATATATATATATAATATGACTGGAAAAGACCCAGTTTGATAATTTCTTTCCTAGACAGTGATTAGAACAACTAATCTCTACCCTCCAGCTCGGGACCACTGTTACAAATGATGAGGGTAAGACCAGCTACTTAAGTGCAGACCAGAGATTGAACCTGGGACCTCCCTGCATGTGTCTGGTTAATGCACATCCCAGTTACCCAATTGAGCCATGGAGGGTGACCCTCTGTAAGTTGTGGTACTGAGCCATGCTAACAAACACTACCCGTGTTTTAGATATAGCATCTATAACATTAAAATGTCTCGATCGCATTACAATAATCACTGTTAACTGCAGTGACTGTGTGTTTCTTGGTGACACAATAATGTATTTGCACAGCAATGTCCCACAAACAGTCAGGAGGTGAATGGCCAATTTATCTGGGGAATTGGTGGCCAGGACATGGGGAGATACTCCTCTTTTTGAATGGTGCTGTGGGATCTTTAACATCCAAGTGAACTAACAGGATCTCAGTTTAAATTTTCATCCAAAAGATGGCATCTCTGACAATGCATACCATGAATAAGAGGAAAAGAAATCTAACGGAAACTCCTTACTTTACGTGAGAATATGGCTCAGTTGGTTGCCACCTGTTCCCATTCGAGGCTAGTTAAGGCACTGCTGTAGTTGATACCACTGTCATCACTGGGTCAGAAGATTATTGCTTCAAGCCTCCCTCCTTTCTCCATTGGAAGTTGAGCTCACAATCTAGGTGGCTGTTGCATCTTATCAGGTCCAAATACCTCAAAGTGCTTCACACCACTTGCCAAATGTAGTTTTTTTTATAAGCAAACACTGAAGCCATGTGTATCAGCATGTTCGCAAACAAGCATGAGGTGAATATAATAATAGTAATCCTTGCATTTGATATACCGTTTTATCATGTCTTTGAGACGTCTCAAAGTGCTTCACATAATATACTGTAAAGTGAATTGTACATTTTATGGCCCAAACGCGGCAGCCAATTGCACACACCAGTGGCCCACAAACAGTCGTGGATTGAGTGACCACATTTTTTTNAATGGATTAGTATCCCCGGAAAAGCGATCTGCCAATCGACTAACAACCGGGTTCCTACTTACTGCTAGGTAAACAGAGGTGTGTGGTTTAAGGAAACTTGCCCAACGTTTCACCCTGGCCAGGAATCTAAACCAGGTCATCTTACTTGCTAGGTGAGTGTTCTAACCACTAAGCTACAGGACTCCAGGTGAATTAATATGCATGGTTGTTACACGGTTCATTATTTATGTGGCCATCCTGGCTCAGATGGTAGCACGCTTGCCTCTTGAATCAGAAAGTTGTCGGTTCAAGCCTTTCGTCAGGGATTTTGAGCTCTCAGTCAAGGCTGACACTCCAGTGCAGTGCTCACTGCAGCAAACTGCATTGTCAGAGGTGTGGTCCTTCAAATGAGACATTAAAGGTGAGGTTCTATCTACATTATACAAGTGGATATTAAAGATCCCAAAGCGCTACTTGAAAAGAGAAGGGACTTTCTTGTGGCTCTAGCCAACACTCCCCCAGATAAAATTGATCGTTTTGTGCAGATTAGGTGCTGTGTTCATTTACAAATATACATGCATTTACACTTTACCAGAACAACTGTAGTGTTGATGCTATAAGGCATTATAACAAGTGCACAGATTACATATTTTGACTTCTGTGCTACCAGCACACTGAAACAGCTACAGGAGAGCCACTCTAATGTGTCTAAGCCACTAGATGTCGCACTATGTTGACAAAAGGCATCCTGACTGATCCATAAAGTGGTGTGGAGAAGAATGGATTTGGGTATATAATGGGAGCTGAATAAATCTTGTCAGACTGACATAAAAAACGGCTGAGGAAATGTTCAAGGATCCAATAACAGGAAATCAGATAATGATGTATGCACAGTATCTCTAACCAAGTTATTTAGTTATTATGGTTGGTCTGGTGTACCTGGAAACCCATTGCCGTGCCTGAAGTGTATTTAAACCAGACTAAATAAGAGTACCATCCAAGTATGGAAATTTGTGTTTGTCTGGAATGGAATGTATTCCCTGCTCACTCCATTCTGGAGAATATTAGGCACAGCAGGTTGGGCAAAAGCCAAAGCTTAGGGAACCCAAGAGTTTGTGTTGGGGTAACTGTTGGAGTTATTTCACCCACAAAATTCACAGTCAATCCACTTAATAGTATAAGCGTATCTCAACAATGTGATAAGGCGCTATATCAAATGCAAGGATTACTACTATGACTATTAACAAGCTGATATTGTAAGCCCAGATATTGTAGTTCTTTGATGAGGTGAAAAAACACTAATCTTTATTTCATTCTTTTGAAGTATTGGGGGAACCAACTTTAAGTTAAGAATTCATAAATTTTGAACAATTTTGCGACCAAGTTTTACAATCACGTGGTTAAGTAGGTGGAACTAGGTGGAATTTGGGATCTCTTCCTACTAGAGTAAGTCTCCCATTTCACAATGTTTTTCTACAACGACGTCAGTCTATACCGATCCTCCAGAGCAGCACATGTTGTTAGAGTGTACAGGGAGTTAATTGCTTGCTGACTTTTATAAGGGTTCCCTTTTTTATATTGAAATCCTAGGTGAAGGGTCAAGACCCATGGTAGGGTGTAGGATATCACCAAGGTTGTGAAGAGCAACAGGGGAGTGAATCAATCACTTACACCAGCCTTCTGCTGACTTAGCTTGTGCACTGAGCTGTAAGGAT